CAAGGAGCTGCAAGGATTTAAAGATCTGACAGATCAGTGTGTGGTGTGCGCTCTGCCTCGGCGTACCTCTGTGCTCCACGCAATTTGTGTTTTTGGAATGCTGAGGCTATTTGGTGATTTATCATCTCAGGTTTACTGTGGTAATCCGAGTTTACTTGTTAAACTTCGTTGGCTTAAAGAAAATGCTATGATGGTTGTTGTGTGATTCTAAATGGAGCCTTTAGACCTTCCTGTTAGATTTGTTTTAGTATAGATTAATTTTGTTAGATTAGTTTGAGTGTTCTGCCCCCTTTGTCGAAGATGTCGAAAAAAAGGGAATCTGACAATGATCAGCTCAGGTACAGCTCATGTGCTTTATTCAGTGTTAAATGTTAATCATGCAAGTGTAAATGTCATTTTACATGACATTTATTGCCGTACTAATGAACGCAGCATCAAATAGTTCACCTCAGATCTGGAAAATAACATAAACGGATTGAGACTGAACTTCAGAACTGTGATTCAGTGCAAACCAACACATATCAGTGATTCAGCATCTACATTTAATCATGGTAAAGAGGTTTAATATGTATTTATTAGATTATAAACCTTATTTTCACTGGAGTGCAGTGAGTGCACTATTCTGTGCCTCTGGCTGTATTTACATTTCTGTCGTGCTTCGTCTGGTGCAAACAGCCAAACTGCTCATCACTGCAGATCTAGTCACGTAGCAAATTGTTAGGACACGAGGTTACAGGGTCTCTGCAGATATCATAATGTCAAATTTAAGACCTTTTAAGACCTTTTTAAGACCATTAAGTATTAAATTTAAGACCTATATCGCAATATCAAAAACATGCGAGAAAAAATGTAAAAGCACAAAATTAGGGGTAAAATAAAGTTATTTAAATTTCGCTCTCTCGCATTACAGCGCTCCCGACTTATAAAACTGCGCTTGCGACATTTGTCAGTTAAACAACGGCATACTCTGCCAGCCGAAATCATGTCGCGCGCACTCAAAGCGAACTTCCGCAAACACAGCGATGACGTCACATTCGCCGCGCGCACTGAGTTTAATAACAGAAAGCTGATTGGCTATTGCAAGCTGACTTTTTTGTAGTTGTAATACCGCAAATTACAATTGGACTAGTGAAATAATGAACTACAACCCCACAAAAACCTAGCAACAACAACAAAAATAATTTAAATGAGCATTAGATGTAGCGTTACATGGACATCGCAAAAATAAGACCTGTGCAAAAATATTTAAGACCCAGAACAGCAAATTTAAGACTTTTTAAAGCCATAAATTTCGATTTTTTAATTTAAGACTTTTTAATACTTTTTAAGACCCCGCGGGGACCCTGGTATTTACATTATCTGCTAATTAATAACCTCACGTGGAACTCTGAATCTGCATCTCATTTCAGTGTCTGCTACTGTCCATCGGAGGTTGCATTTCGGTGAGGGAATGAATAAATGCAATGGTATTTTTTTCTATAAAGGCAACCTGGTGTGCTGAAATATAATTGGCTAAACTGGCATTGGGGCGGGTTAAAGGGACCAAAACAAAGACAAACATCCCAGCATACAACGCACATACTCAAAGCAGAATGTCTGACTTCAGCATTGTTTTACAGGTAAACAAGAATGTTCACGGAGCATGTTTCTGAATATCTGCAAACATACTATGGTGTTTTTATGCTTTAGTAGAGTCAAAAACTTACATGCAGCACCTTTAAGGCAGGAAAAAGATGGCGATGATCTCATTAAACCACTAAAACACACATACAAAACAAAAACAATAACATCATGACTAGAAAATATTGTATTTATTTACAATTTACAGACACAAGAAAAACGTCAGCATTTGTTTCATTGCCTCCATGTGTCTCAACACACACACACACACACACACACACACACACACACTCACCGCAAAACAAGTGCATTAAGACTAATAATGAATGTCCTGCACCTTGACTGAGTTTATCACTCGCTTATTATTGAACTTGCTCATACATTTATTACTCAGAAACTGTATTAGTGGCTTTTTTTGAGCTCATGCAAACATCTTAATACCTGTACGGCTTTGCATCGCCACTGAACACATTCACTTTTCACCAGTTTTCTGCTGCTTATCTCAGATTTTGCTACTTACTCAATAATATCTGAGAGTTAAACACAAGAACAACTGAAAACTATCAATGCGTGTTGTTTTTTTAGGTGCGAGGGAAACACTTTCCCTCTGTTTTCATATTTAAATTGAAGTCCAATGCTTATTAGGTCAAAAGAGTAAAGTAAAAACTAATAATAATAAATGAAAACGCCTCAAATATTGCAGTAAATTGAGTCATTTTAGGCCACAATAATCTGATTTATTTTCAGACAATCCCTGATACTCCATAACTTGGACAAGGAAAGCTCTCAGAATTAGCTGTTTACTCAATGTCTGAAAACAATCGATGCGTGTTGTTGCTTTAAGTTAAGGCACGTGACACAGAGGAGGTCTGTGAGCCACACACACAACTTTCCTTGAACAAAATCTGAATTATTAATGATAATCTTTATGCGTTTCATTCAAAATAGCGTGCCAAATCACCACAGTATATCAACTTATTGGTACTTTTAGAGTAAAATAAAGAATAAAATGATTTTATTTGTAACAAAACTAAACACTAAGGACTTTTAGAGCTGATTACATTACAAAAGGATCATATGCTATTAATAAATAATAGCATTTAATCATTTTTGCCTCATTTCTACATATACCAGTAGTCTCAAACTCAATTTCTGGAGGGCTCTGCACAGTCAAGCTCCAACCACCTCCAACTCACACCTGCTTAATAGTCTCTAGTAGTGTTGATCATTAAGATCAGCTGTGTTTAATTAGGGTTAGAGCAAAACTGGGCAGAGCTGTGGCCCTCCAGGAATCCAGTTTGACACCCATGACATAAACTAACACACTTAATAGCATAATAGCTTATGCATTATACCAGTAGTTAATGCACTTTCAACAAACATTATATATAATACATAAAAATAAAAAATACATAAAAAATTAAATATAATACATAACGTTACTAATGGTAATGATGGATACAGCTATTGTTATATGCTATTTGAGCATCCTTGAGGAAATAGCTAAATCTATATTATATTATAATGTTATAATTATAAAACATATTATAAAATGACAATATAATATATTAAACATATTACTATATTGAAATATTATAACGTTTATATGAGTATTATGTGTAAAATTTGATCATAAACCTTGTAATTTACAATGTTTGTAATTATATGAAGAGTTCAGATGCAAAAACCTCTAAATGTCGTCTGAAAATTCTCTTAAATGAGCGCAGCTATATCCGGTTCCTGTGTGTATGTTCAATAATATTACATTTATAGCAGAGAACAAGTCCTTTTCCTGCTCTTTAAAGTGAAATATCTCAACTTAAACAAACCAGGCTGGGAAAAATGTTCATTTATGATGGAAATTTCAGTCGTCATATAGAGGTTTTTGGATCTGAACTCTTCATATAATTACAAACATAATATATTATAAGGTTTATAATAATATTTTATAATATTTTAAACAATACCAATATAAATATTATAATATTACAATATAGTAATATGTTTAATAAATTATATTGTCATTTTATAATATGTTTTATAATATAGCATTTTGCATCTGAACTCTTTATTTGTTTAATATATTAATACAATATAACATTTATAAGTATAATAATGTTTAAAACATTATTTTAAAATATCATAAACATTGTAATATATAATGTTTGTAACGCTATTTTAAAGATATATTGTATTATAAAGTTTATAATAATATTAATGCTTAAAACATTATAAAATATTAGCATAAACCTTATAATATGTATTGTTTGAAATTATGTTTAATATAATAATACAATATAATATTTATACAAATATTAATGTTTAAACATTATTATACATGTTTGTAACAATATTTTAAAGATATAACATTTTAATATTATAACGTTTATAATATTATTAATGTTTTAAACATTATTATAAACCTTATAATATATTGTTTGTAATTATATAAAGAGTTTAGATGCAAAAACCTCTACATTTTTTTCTGAAATGAGCGCAGCTTTATCAGGCTCCTGTATGTGCATGTATATTACTGTGTATGTTCAATAATATGACGTTTATAGCAGAGAACAAGTCCTTTTCCTGGTCTTCAAAGTGAAATATCTCAACTTAAGCAAACGAGGCTGAGAAAAATGTTCATTTATGATGGAAATTTCAGTCGTCATATAGAGGTTTTTGCATCTGAACTCTTCATATGATTAATATAATAATACAATATAATATTTATAAGAATAATGATGTTTAAAACATTATTATAAAATATTATAAACGTAATATATAATGCTTATAAACAATATTTTTTAAATAATATATTGTAATATAAAGTTTATAATAACATTAATGTTTAAAACAAAATATTACTATAAACCTTATAATATATAATGTTTGTAATTATATGTTTAATATAATAAAATATAATATTGATAAGAATATTAATGTTTACAACATTATTATAAAAATATTATAAACATTGTAATATATGGTGTTTGTAACAATATTTTAGATATATTATATTGTAATATTTAAACATTTATAATAATATTAATGTTTAAAACAAAATATTATCACAAACAACAGTTATTATTGGTAATGTTAAATAATATATATATATATATATATAAATCATAAACATTATAATACATGTATTATATAAAACATGTAATTTTTATATTAACATTATTAACATTAATATATGCATACTTATAATAATATAATATTCTAGTAATATGATAATTATGAATTAATATCAACATTTATTTATTAATATTAACATTGTTAAGTCGTACAGGACTGACAGAAAATAGGCGAAAAAGAACAAACAAAACATGAAATTCCCCCAACAGTGAGTAAGTAACAAAATCTTGACATCCACATACTGGTAAGATGTTTGAGCCCCTCTGGGACTTTAGTTTCTTTATTTCAGCTGTGAGGATTATTCAGATGCAGATGTGCTAATGTTTTAAAGCAGCAGCAGCAGCAGCGTCTCAGTAAATGCTGTGTGTTTTACCTCAGCTCATCAGACCAGGTTAAAGCCCTGGTTGTGTTCAATGGCGTGCAGCAGCTTCTCCTGCATTGTGTTTTTGCTGGTGTATTTGGGCAGATCCAGCAGGTTAAAGCATGTGTGTGCCACTGGGAAATACTGCTCTCCTCCTGCGGTCGGCTGAATCACCAGAGCCAGACTCTTCATGCCCAGAATGGGGATACGATCACTGCCTGTCAGGAACACTGCACACATACAAACATTAATCAAGACAACTGCATATGCTTAAGGAAAGAATTGAGACATTAGTTAATGACAATATACGGTTTACATTCAGGGAAGCAGAGGAAATGTATATACATATATTTTTGTTATTCAGATATTTTGCATAATTCATTAATCAACTAAACAAGGTTTTATTTGTCCGACAACTGCACATGCTTAAAAAACAAATGACATATTTTAGAAATGAATGCCAACATGGGATGTATGAAATATGAATACATTAATTTGAAACACTGTTTTGAGATACGTAGTTTAAATTTTAGGGTTAAAAGTGTTAAATTAAAAGGTCTTGAATATAAAGAGTTTCAATTCTACTGTCTATGGCAGGGGTCACCAATCTCGGTCCTGGAGATCTGGTGCCCTGCAGGGTTTAGCTCCAACTCGCCTCAACACACCTGCCTGATTGGTTCAAGTATACCTAGCAAGACCTTGATTAGCTTGTTCAGGTGTGTTTGATTACAGTTGGAGCTAAAATCTGCAGGACACCGGCTCTCCAGGAACAAGTTTGGTGACCCCTGCTCTATGGACTGAGATTTATGTGCATTTTGTAGCATTGAGGAAAGTCATTCAATTATTTTTTGAGTAATTTTAAGTTCAAGTTTTCAGACAAAGTAATTAGAAATGTTATTTAAATATAATTTTAACAATGCAATTATCAACTGATTATGTTTTTTAAGTAATGTAACTTACACTGACCGGCCACTTTATTAGGTACACCGGCCACTTTATTAGGTACACCAAAACTTTTTCAAGTTTTCAGACAAAATAATTAGAAATGTTATTTAAATATAATTTTAACAATGTAATTATCAACTGATTATGTTTTTGAAGTGTTGTGACTTACATTGACCGGCCACTTTATTAGGTACACCTGTCCAACTGCTTGTTAATGCACATTTTTAATAAGCCAATCACATGGCAGCGACTCACTGCATTTAAGCATGCAGACATGGTCAGGATGATCTGCTGCAGTTCAAAGTGAGCATCAGAATGGTGAAGAAAGAGGATATAAGAGACTTTGAATGTGGCATGGTTGTTGGTGCCAGACGGGCTGCTCAGAGTATTTCAGAAACTGCTGATCTACTGGGATTTTCACGCACAACCATCTCTAGGGTTTACAGAGAATGGTCTGAAAAAGAGGAAATATCCAGTGAGCGGCAGTTCTGTGGGGGCAAATGCCTTGTGTGCAGAAAGTCTGCCGAAGGTCACCTCTGACCACACAACATGACCAACCTTGAGGCGGATGGGCTACAGCAGCAGAAGAGCACACCGGGTGCCGCTCCTGTCAGCTAAGAACAGGAAACTGAGGCTACAATTCACCAAAACTGGACAATAGAAGATTGGAGAAACGTTGCTGCTCTGATGAGTCTCCATTTCTGCTGACACATTCGGATGCTCGGCTCAGAATTTGGCCTTAACAACATGAAAGCATGGATCCATCCTGCCTTGTATCAGCGGTTCAGGCTGCTGGTGGTGTGATGGTGTGGGGGAGATTATCTTGGCACACTTTGGGTTCATTAGTACCAATTGAGCATCATGTCAACACCACAGCCTACCTGAGTATTGCTGCTGACCATGTCCATCCCTTTATGAGCACAGTGTCTCCATCTTCTGATGGCTACTTCCAGCAGGATAACACACCATGTCATAAAGAGTAAATCATCTCAGACTGGTTTCTTGAACATGACAATGAGTTCACTGTACTCAATGGCCCACACAGTCACCAGAACTCAATCCAATAGAGCACTTTGGGATGTGGGGGAATGGGAGATTGGCATCATGGATGTGCAGCAACTGTGTGATGCTATCATGTCAATATGGAAGAAAATAGTTTGTTGAATCTTTGCCATGAAGGATTAAGGCAGTTCTGAAGGCAAAGGGGGTGCTACTAAAAAAGTAAAACTACTAAGGTGTACCTAATAAAGTGGCCGGTGAGTGTACACAGATTTACATTGATATCCATTGGGAGATTCGTGGGTATATTATAATTTATGAAACAGGGACTTTCACTGATTAAAAATCAGAATTTTCAACACACACAATGAACAGAAAATAGAAAATAATGGATGTTGTAGAAATTTTGTGATTCTGCAACCGCTGAATTTAACAAAAATCAAACAAATGCCGCAAAAATGCAGAGAAGTTTCAGATTTTAAAAATTATTTAATTATTATTATTATTTTTTTTATCGAACACAGATTTTTTGGGGCCAACGAGGAGTATTCAGTAATCTAAACTCCAAAAGGATTGACTTACACAGGAACTGTTTCTTCTTCTCCAAAGGCAGCTCGTGAAAAACCTCCCAGAATATCTTGATGGTGGGATGATCAGCCCAGTACTCGCCCTTATACTCGGTGCTCTGAAGATCAATAGAGTTGCACATTAACACTGAACAGTATCAGAACATTACACACATGTGCACACCCACTAACACACACATGCGCGCACTTAAATTATCTGCATTCGCAACACTGTTTTTTCCAGGAGACCCCGATTTTAATAAACTTAATTTTAATAAAATAAAATAATAAACAAACAAAGCTGAGAAAAATGTTCATTTATGATGGAAATTTCAGACGTCATATAGAGGTTTTTGGATCTGAACTCTTCATAGAATTACAAACATAAACGGGCTCATGTGTTCAATAATATGACGTTTATAGCAGAGAACAAGTCCTTTTCCTGCTCTTTAAAGTGAAATATCTCAACTTAAACAAACCAGGCTGGGAAAAATGTTCATTTATGATGGAAATTTCAGTCGTCATATAGAGGTTTTTGCATCTGAACTCTTCATATGATTAAATAATAATACAATATAATATTTATAAGAAAATTGATGTTTAAAACATTATTTTAAAATATTATAAATGTAATATTTACGTAATACGCTTATAAACAATATTTTTAAAATATTATATTGTAATATAAAGTTTATAATAACATTAATGTTTAAAACATAAAATATTACTATAAACCTTAATAATAATAATATATAATGTTTGTAATTATATGTTTAACATAATAAAATATAATATTGATAAGAATATTAATGTTTAAAACATTATTATAAAATATTATAAACATTGTAATATATGGTGTTTGTAACAATACCCCAATTTTAATAATCCTTCACAAAAAAACCCAGTAGAAAATAATTTTAAAGATCAGTTGTTTTTAATAATTGCAACAACTGAATAAAGATTACGATAATAAAATATCCACATCATATTGTAAAATAAAATAAAATAAAGGAAAATGGTGGCTCAGTGGTTAGCACTGTCACCTCACAGCAAAAAGTTCGCTGGTTCTCCTCATGTTGGTGTGGGTTTCCTCCGGGTGCTCCGGTTTCCCCCACAGTCCAAACACATGCGCTATTGGGGAATTGATGAACTAAACTGGCCCTAGTGAATGAGTGTTTGTGTTAAAGAGTGTGTATGGGTGTTTCCCTGTACTGGGTTGCAGCTGGAAGGCCATCCGCTGTGTAAAACATATGCTGGAACAGTTGGCGGTTCATTCAGCTGTGGCGAGCCCTGATCAACAAGGGACTAAGCCAAAGGAGACTGAATAAAAAATTATAGCCAGATTTTAAATGAACAAAAGCTGATTGGTTGAGATTTACCTAGAATTTCAGATATTTCTTTGTTTTGTGTCTCAGTCAAACATTGCACTATTCTTTGTTAATTATTATATATTCAGAGTTCAGATTATATATATAAAACTCAATTTTAAATAAATGTGTGTGCACTTATGACTGGTTTTGGGGTAGTTTAGCTCATCTGTACCACATGCGTGAAGTTAACTAAATTAAATAAACAATGATGGGCAGGTTTTTAAATTAACAAAAATTGGTTGGTTGAAGTTTTATACATATATTAAAATATAATTAAGCTTTTTTGTATGACATTTTGTGTTGTAGAATGCACAAATTTTCACCTTTGCATTGTTACAGCCAAAACTATTTTGTGTGTAGACCTTGCATATTGTGTAGTGCTCCACCCTGCTCTCTCTATCTCTCCCCGCTCTCAGGTTATTTCTTTTTTTTTTTTTTTCCATTTCCACCAGGGGATACTCATCCCAAGGCCCTCCGACTATGCAGAGTCACTGATTGGATCCAAGACCAGCGACGAGATGATCCCAAGGTTTCCATATCCTGGACCAGGCCATATCCTGAGCTGCTGCTGCTGCGCTGTTGGTCATGGGGGAGTGGAGAGCATGAGACTGATTCCAGTGACGCTCCAGGGACAGACGAGTCTTTGCTGAGGCCAGCTTCCAGCCTCCGTCGCTGAGACTGCAGCTCTGCACAAGAATTTTGGCCAGCGGAGAAATAAAAAGGGTCGTGCCGAACGGAGTCTGGTTTCTCTCAAGGTTTTTTTTCTTCACTTGCCAATCGGTGAAGTTTTTTTTCCCTCTCCACTGTCGCCTCTAACTTGCATGGTTTGGTATCGGCAGACCTACCCATCGATGAATTTGCTCTTCAGTGTTTGGACTCTCAGTAATGATTAAATCACACTGAACTGAGCTAAACTGAACTGAACTTAAACACTAAAAACTGAACTACCCTGATCCAGTTACTATGACCATTCATGTGAAGCTGCTTTGACACAATCTACATTGTAAAAGCGCTATACAAATAAAGCTGAACTGAACTGAACTGAATTAAGCTCCCATTATGAACCTGCCTGAATCGGAGTGGTTTGGCTATAAATACTGGCTTCTGAAGCTAGTGAGCTGAGGAACGCTTCTCACGAGCTCTTAAGTGCAACAGTTGGATTTGTGATATTGTTCACCTCATCCTCTCGCAATCTACGTTCTGCTTCGGGGCTCACCTTGTATCAGCCCCGTTGCAAACTCAGCAGCATGGGAGGCAGGGCTTTCTCTTATCGTGCACCTAAATTGTGGAATGCTCTCCCCACAAACATCAGAAACGCCAGTTCCCTGGACTGTTTTAACAAACTTCTTAAAACTCATCTTTTTAAATTGCTTATAACTTATAAGGCCTTCTTTTAATATGTATATTTTTATCATTATTATCATTCTTACTTTTTTTGTGTATTTCATGTTCTTCTGTGTGTTGATGCTCTTGTTAGCGCTTTGAGTTTAAAAAAAGCGCAATATAAATAAAATGTATTATTATTATTATTATTATTATAGCTGTGTAGTGATATTGTTCACAAGTGTAGGCAGTGGTTGGATTTTGCAGTAGTTGGAATAATCTTTAATGCCAAATAAACTTTGTGCCTTTAATTCTATTTATCATTTTGTGTATTTAATTTGAGCTTTACTTCTAAGTGTGCCTAAAGCGTGCATGCCTTATTTAATTTTGTTTATCTTTTCGACTGTTTATGGTTGAGAGAGGAAGTTCAGGAAAGTTTGTTGTTGATTTTCATCTTTGATTTTGCATTAGGTAAGCTAGTTCTCTAAACTTTAGTTAGCTGCTTTCTGTTTGTTGTTTTAGGCTATACTCACTCGGTTTTGACCTCTAGATTCTGCTAAAATTCCTATATTTGTATTAAATAAATTCTTAGGATAAATCTCTCTAAGCTTTGTGTTGACTCTTCACTCTGGCGCTGAGGATTAAAGTGTGTTCTCCATGTTTATCTTTTTTAATTAGTTCTAATTCAATATTATTTACCCAATTTTGGTACACCTTTTAAGCAAAAACTCCTAGACTTTAATAAGGTCGTAACAGTATGAAAAAAACAACAGACATCCTGATTGAAACTGTAAATCCACTTTCTGCCGTTAGGTGATGCTAATAAAATGACCAAAACTGGAAGAAATACGCTCAATGTTAGTAATTCATTCATTGTCCCTGACTTATCAGGGGTCACCACAGCGGAATGAACCACCAACTATTTAACCATACTATAGTTTACTAGCGAATGCCCTTCCAGCCACAACCGATAACTGGGAAACACCCATACACTCTCACATTCACACACACTCAGACACTATGGCCAGTTTAGTTCATCAATTCCCCTATAGCGCTTGTGTTTGGACTGTGGGGGAAACCGGAGCACCCAGAGAAAACCCAAGCCAACTCAGAGAGAACATGCAAACTCCACACAGAAATGCCAACTGACCCAGTCAAGACTCAAACCAGGGACCTTCTTGCTAAGTCCACAGTGCTAACCAGTGAGCCACCATGCCGCCCTGTAAGTAATTAACTAATCAAATAAATAAACCTTTATTGATAAATAAAATGGTCAATAATTTGTTTTATCATCAAATTGGTATCGGTTTTTCATTAATGCACAGTAAAAGTATCCATTAATTAACAATTTACCGTATTGTTTTGCTTTTTTAATTATTATTCTTATTTATTTACACTTTTGAATTGCATTATGGGTGTTTTATCTTTTCTCCAACAACTTTTGATGTTGAAAAGTATAAAAAATTGACTTTATTAAACGTGTAATAGTGTGCAGTGCTATATTGTCTGGGTTGGTGTTGTATATTATGCTACAAAAACCTGCAGCATAAACTGCAGCACCTTATCTGTTATTTTACAGACTCATTTCTCTAGATATTAATTTCTTATACATTATAATATTATTTCAAACGACTAAAATGTCAATAAAAGTCACTTTGTTAAACTGTAGAGTTGAATTTTCAACATCAAAAGTGCACAGAGCAGAGATCAACATCCCATAATGCACAAATAAACACAAAACACTGAAATAATAAGTTATAAAAGGATATTTTTTACAGTATACTCATAATCCTCAAACTAAAGTGACCCATGACTGGGTTCAGAAACCACTGATTTACATAAACATCACGTTCAGCTCTACCTTTTCCAGCTCCTTCCAGTCATAGTTGGTGTTTCCGATGACCATGGCCTGCAGTTCACTGGGCTGGAAAAGCTCCAGGACTTTCCCTCCACACACTTTGTGAAATCCAGCATAGAAAGCACTGAACTGAGGAGCCACAGACTTGTTGAATATATAATCCACATAAGCGTTGACAAACTCCTGCCTGAGAATGGAGAATTACAGCGTTTGGTCAGGTCAAACATTCACCCTGAAGCACATAATCTGAGGTTGTTTGGGTTTATGTGTTGTTTTTCTTGTTTATAGATAACTGACCAACAAAAAAAATACATTAAAATTAAGATAAATATTATACCAAACGAAATTTGTTTCAAAATTGTATTTTTCCATTATTACGAATGATATTTTTTGTTTGTGCCCCTCCACTACTCCACTGCAGTGGTTGGATGATGTTTCGCTCAGTGGAAAATAAGGATTTAATTAAAGCTGGAGGTGATTGTGCTCAGAAACATGTGTTGTTGTGCTGGTTGAAAGTCTCTTCACAGTCCAATAATACTGACTAAAGTAAATGATCTAAATGTGTTTATATGTATTTTTATATTCTGGGAGAGGCAGAAGACTAAATAATGTTCTTTCTAGGGTTGGGCCGATAGACTAAGCCATCGCCGATGGCCGACAAACTTAACGATGCTGAGCCGGCATCGCGATCCATCGCCCCGGCCCACATTTATATTGAGATATAACTTATTATTGCATGTCATTTTAATAGCAATAAGGGTCTTTTTTATTTACACTCAGCTCACGATACAATGTGTATCACGATATAATGTTCACGATTCGATATGTATCACGATATTTGGAATAAAAATTGAAAATTAAACTGAAATGCAAATTTTAAAAAAAAATTTAATTACCAAGTAAACTATTTTTTATGTATTTCTTTTGTTTCAACTTGTTAAACTGAACCTTCTTTAAGAAAATAAATTAAACAGGCCTGTCTTTGGAAAATAAAACAATTTAAAAACTTCTTAAAAATATTATTGAAATGACAGAGACAAAATTAGGGAACAATTTAAGTAAAGGTGCAAAAAAAAAAAAAGCTTTCAATTCAATTGAATTTAACAGTAAGAGCTTAAGGCTTTGCTTGGTCACTTGCGTTTTTTGTGTGTGCAAAAAAAAATTCCAGGTAATCAGCAGTTCTATAAGATAATCCTGAACTGATGTGTATCTGTCTGAGAGGTTTTTATGGATGGCTGTCTTCATGTTGGGCATGATGAGTGCAGGGTGGCCGTCTTTTCATTACACAGGACAGTCGTGGCTCTTTTCAGCAGTTTAGGCAGGTTTACTATTTCCTCGGCGTCGCTGATGTCGGCGCTATCAAGTGTATCATGTTGACGTGCATTTTTGTGTACCTCTATACTCAAAAGAGTTCATGCTCGTCGTAATCATAACTCTAAAATGCGATATGATTGTTTAAATAATGTGTACGTTTTCGGTTTCATTTCCACTGCTGTTCATACTTCCCACGTGGCTCCTGAACGATCACTCTGTTCCACACACTGAATGTTGTTCACTACTTTATTACCTGTTAGTCACAACCTGCAGGTTCTGTTCACTGAAGCAGACGCGCACGCCTCTATCATAGTCCGCCCTCTGTAGTAACAGCTCACGGTCAGCTCACGTCATGTGTGATTTTGCGGCCGCCAATACATCATTATATGAAGACAGAATGATATTTTAGGGTGAATTGTACCTTATAAATACAGTATGTGACTCTTTCAACACCATTAGAAGGTATCCCTGTCGCTGTGCAAAGTATGTAAATCACTGTGAAGACTTTAAAACTTAGGCTGTTTGACCCAGTATGCGTGTCAAAAAGCGGACGAGTCTAAAGCAAAGACTGTACAACTGAAATGTTGCCAGACGTCTGATTTTGAGAGGATGGGCCATCCTCTATTTCAACTCCACTCATCTTGGTCTGCTAACATTACTGCTGCTGCAATCTGAACTCACGTGCGACAGCAGGTGGAACGTAGCTCACGTGCAAACAGCTCAACTAATAAGAGAAAACGGACGTCATATCGTAATCAAATCGTCATAACGCCACGATGCATATTGTGACATTTTTGCATCGCAATAAATCGTACAACGATAAATCGTTACACCCCTATTAATTAATGTTGAGTGTTAGAGGCTGGTGATATTCACACACTGCTGACACACACCTGTGTTTAAACCCCTTATAAAAGTGATTTTTGCATAATAGGTGCCCTTAAATCAACAGTCATGGTGGGTGAATGTTTATGCAGCACCTGTTGGATTTGTTGACGCTGATGTCGGTCCCGTTGGGGATCAGTTCCACTACCTCTGTGGCTCCAAAATTATCTTCTGTGATCTGCAGTTTCAAAGCCAAAATGACTACACTTGAACAAATTGGTTAAACTTTATGATGCACTATTACAAAGAGAGAGATTGCATGCAAACAACACTGGGTCTTACTGTGAAATTCAGGCAGAAGGTTTCCTCCAAATCATCTTCAGTATAATCCAGCAGCTGCTGAAGACTCCTGGAAAGACACATATTAGACAAGCATAACCTTAAATAAATAAAGCATAGCTTGATTTACCCATGATAAAGCCTACTAATATCTGATTTGGCATCTAAATGAATAAACTTTGTTACACACAATTCATTCATGTTGGGGCAACATTAGTTTTTACAAATTGAACAAAAACAATTAAGTTGTCAAGAAAAAAAACTCTGAATTGTATAATTTCAGCTCATTTTAATTAAGTGATCTGAGTGCTGTATTGCACTGCATTATTTAAAACTGCAGAAATAAACATCTTATTAAGATATATTAATAAAGATATAGCATGACTGATAATTTGATTGTTTTGTGCAGGTATTTTTGAGTTGTAAGCATAATAGCGCACCTTCCCACATCAGGCATGAGCTCCTTCAGGTCCTCTAGTGTTGGTGTTTTCTTCAGCAGTTTCTTGTACAGCGCTAGCGGGAAATTCAGCTCCACTATAGTGAGATTATAGATGGCCAATCCACAGACAACACCGATCAGGTGAAACAGGTCGATATCTTCAAACGTCTGCAGTAAAGAAAAACCCATATTTGAGATCTTACACACTGTCAGAAATATCGGGAAATGAGCAGTTTTCTGTATTTTGTGTTTCATCTTTTAATTTTTCTAGGTTTAATTTCATTATGGGCAGGGCTCAACAATAAGGACTGCCCGCTGGCCTGGGACCAGTGTGCGAGAGGCTCTAGACAGTATACAGAATGGTTACTGACCTGATCGGGGCCAGTGCTGCCTTGTCACTAAAGTTTGTTTTGGCTGCGACTGTTTGTCAATAGCGTGCTTTCATGCCCAGACATTTTGGATCTCGTTTGCCCATAAGCGAGGCTCGTGTGGCAATAGTGAATGCCCCAATCGTGCTCGAGTCCGCGGCAAATCAATCGGTCTGAGATCGCCAGAATAAGGAGGTTTTGGCTCTACTGAGCGGATCGATTGTAGGCAAACAAAACGATCCAACGAATCAGGCTATATCACAGTGTATTATGGTTGTGTGCGGGTCACCTTTATCAGGCTTGCGTTTCCACTACCAAGGGTACCCTTTTGGTGAGCGTGGTGTATGACAAAGTTTCAGTCGACGTCATGCTCGCTCGAGAAAATGTCTACAATAAAGCTGCACAAGTCGCTCACATATATGAAAAGCACCTCTCACAAAAAAGACGCTTTACACACATAAATACTTCTGGTTAAATGTTAACTACTAACTTTTCTATGAACATGAGTTGGTTATAAATGCAGATCAATGACAGTGTGAAATAGCCTATTCTAACGTCTGTAATTATATTCAATAAATAAATAAATTAACATATATAACACATACAGCCCCTTACAGTCCCCGATATGTTACCAACTACAGAAAAAGTACAGACATCATACATTTCGTCCTTAATTAGGTTCAAAACAACACAAAGTCTAGCCTACAGTCAGTGAAAACCTCTCATCTGTGTCTGTAATCTTCAGCAGCACATGAAGCCTCTGTTAGAGAGTCATTCCATCATTCCCAGTTCATATTAGTCCAAAAGGTGATGATAAAGATTAAAACAAGGCAGTTTGGTGAAGAAATAACCTGCTCCTTGGCTTTCCATTTTTTTCCGCGCTCCACTCTCGCGTTTGTCCTTTTCTTTCTGAATTTGTCACTCTCGGGTTTGTCAGCTTCTCACAGGATCGGGTTTCCAAAGCACATCAATAATCAAGCGCACGTTGTTATTATTATCAGCTCAAGAAGTTAATCATTTCAGATATAGACGCGCGGCGAGCGCAAGTAATCTCTCGTTGTGTATTTCAAACATGGCTGGTACTTTGTTTACATTCTGGCTTGTTGCGCAAGCGAATGATTTATCTCTGTAAAACAATAGCGTTCAGCTATCTAGCTCCGCCTTTTGGTACCCTTTCTCATGTTTGGGACCCTTTTGAAAGGGTGCCAAAAAAGTGGTATGGTACGGTTTGGTACGCCTTTTGACAGTGGAAATGGCCATAAAAGCGTACCAAACCGAACCGTACCATACCACTCAGTGGAAACGGGCCATAATAGCCATATATACGACTATTTGATAAGAGAATGATGAGTCAGGCAGGATGTCATTTCCACCGGTAAATGTGTGTTTATTTCTAATATGAAAGTAAAAGCATGCTGAAATATCACAGAGTGCTGTTCATCTGTTAGGAAAATTTATCGAAATTACCCTCTGATGATTTTTCTATATTTTAATCTTATATTTTGTATTATTTGTATTTTGCCTTCTTAGTCTACATTAAAAAAAAACCTCAAAGGCCATAATTGATTAAAACGTAGGCTAATATAAGTATTATGTTGATGGACCAAGCAAGAACAAGAAGTGAAATGCATTTTAAATCTTGGTTTACAAATAAATAAAAAATAAAAATATGTAAGGACTGATGTAATGAGCCGGTTTCTAAAATTAAACCGGTTAATTTAATTGTTAATTTTTAACAAAAAAACAAACAAACAAAAAACATAAAATTGGTAAAACTTTACAATAAGGTTCATTAGTTAATGCATTTACTAACGTGAACTAATCAAGAAAACACATGTACAGCATTTATTAATCATAATTGAACATTTACTAATGCATTATTAACATCCAAGTCCATGCTTGTTAACATTAGTTAATGCACCACGAGTTAACATGAACCAACAATGAACTACTGTAATTTCATTAACTAACATGAACAAACATGAACAAATACTGTAGTAAATGTATTGTTCATTGTTTGTTCATGTTAGTAAATGCTTTAATTAACATTAACTAATGAACCTTATTGTAAAGTGTGACCTAGAATGGTTAGTAGTTTTTAAACCACACATTAAACGACTGACTTTAATTAATCTAATCAGTATTGTATTTAAATAAATAATGTTTAAAGCGTCAGTTGTAGTTAAAGAAAGGTTATGCTGAATAACTGAATTGCTAACTTCTTTTTTTGGTGGGGCCAGAGGAAATTTTGGCAGGGCAAGTAAAAAATCTGACCACTGGCCCAATCAGGCAAGTAGAAAAAATCCTTAGTGTTGAACCCTGATTATGGGAGCTTGATTTTATTTACAACAACTATTAATCTTGAAAGGTTGGAAAAAGTGACATTTGTTATAGTCTGCAGTGCTATGTTGTCTAGGTTGGTGTTGTATATCACGCTACAAACACCTTGTAATAAACCGCCAGTAATTTCTCAGTTATTTTACAGACTTATTTCTCTAGATATCATTATTTACTATCCATTATATTATTTCAAACTACTGAAATGTCAATTTAAGACACTTTGCTAAACTGTAGAGCTGAATTTTCTACATCAGAAGTGGACAGAGCAGAGATCAACATCCCATAATAGAGTTCACCACCACAAATAAACAGAAAACACTTGTGAATCATTAAATACGGAAACTTACTATGAATCCATTGTTCTTTTATAAATGAGCAGGGACATTCAATGCTTCTTCGTGTATTTCGATGTCTATTTATTTAGATTTAGTACATTTAAAATGGAGCTTTACTTCCTATGTATCTATAACTTTTCAATAACTTGTGGCTTGGTAATTTCCAAAATCGAATAAATTTTATTAAACCATTAGAATTACCAAATTTTATCCATAACCTACTAAAAATAAAAATAGTAGTTTATAGACCTTTTTCATGGCTTTTTCCTTCCGGTAGAATGCTAAAAACTTCCGTTTACAGCGTGTACAACTGGTAATTTGCGCTCCGAAAATGGGTTTCAATGATGTTTTTAATGGACAACAGAGTGTTTTTGTGACACACAACTTAGAAATGTGTCTGTTAAAGCCGTTATAATCTGTCACGTGTGGTTCAAGCGCGTCAGAAATACGAGAAAAACGTTCTCCTAGTTCACGTGCCTGCCGTCAGAAATAGTGTGTTCCCGGCCTGTCAGCTGTTAGCTCAGCGGCTCTTTAACACACAGAGAGAGAGAGAGAGAGAGAGAGAGAGAGAGAGAGAGAGAGAGAGAGAGAGAGAGAGAGAGAGAGAGAGAGAGAGAGAGAGCAAACCAGAGTACTGGCATGAAACTTAACAGGTATGAAAGTCGTGCAATTTACAAAAATGAGCAATAAAAGTCTGTTATTGACCCTCTGCTGCTGATTTGCTGTTCATTCTAATCGCGAGCCGTTTGTGTTTTATTTCGTGTGTTGTTTTCACCACGGTTTGTGTTTTTCTGTCATTTGGAAATGACACTAGTCTATATTTTCACTTTGTCACAGTTATTAAATCAGTGTGTCAGTGGCACAGTACAGGCTATGTGTGTGTGTCAAACATTTTGGTGAACTACATTAGTTTGGGCTGGTTATATATTTGAAATAAAGACAAAATGTTGACTTTAGCGATGACGAGGCTTCATTTAAACTGCAGAAGATGCCGTCTGACAACGAGGGGAAAACGCCTCACAGCAGCTGTTTTCCATCCTATTAGATCACATTTCTGTAAATGATCAGTCCAGGAGATGCTGCTGATGGACAACAGGATTAGTTCAAAGAGGATAAAAGCAGGTAAAATAGATTAAAACTATCGTTTCACAGCTGTCTAAATGTGACTGTTTACACGCATCAGCTGCCAAACGGAAGTTCTTCACATTCTCCTTGCGCATACACGCAAAGCATCATGGGTAATTTTGCGTTCCAAGAAAAAGGTCTATAGTTACAGCCTTTAGATTTAGTGTTTATAGGATTGCGACCCTTGAGCTGATTACATTATTTTAAAGATGCAGCAATAGCGTCAGATGCAGCAGATTTTATGGCACCAGGTTAAACTTTCTGGCACATTTACAGCACTCACATACATTAAAAAAATTAACTGGAGAACAAACTTGGGCCTACTGGTGTGTGTGCACCGTTGCATGCTAGATTTCTATATTTATAACCACCTTAGAGGATATTGGGGGATCGCGAGTCACTGGCATTGTTAATATTGGGGGTCTCAAGCTCAAAAGTTTGGAAATCTCTGCTCTAGATAATGGATGATAAAGCCCAATAACCTACTTATTTTGACCAGTATTTAAAATACATGAAATACATTCTTGCTGACAAATGGGTAAAACCTAGTACAGTATAACGAACAATTTACAGTTTAAGTATTTTGGTCCTGCACTTTAATCCTATAAATACAGCAGGGTTCAACACTAAGGATTTTTTCTACTTGCCCGATTGGGCCAGTGGTTCAGATTTTTACTTGCCCTGCCAAAAGTTTCACTGGCTCCACCAATAAAAAAAAGAAGTTAATAGCTATTTCTTAGTCACATACTGCACTTTAAATGATTTCAAAAGCCAAACATAATTGTAATACCTACCCTTTTTATTCAGCATAACAATTTATTTAATACAACAGACAAATTAAAAAAATACAATTTTGATGTAATTAAATTTGACTGTGTGTGTGTGTGTGTGTGTGTGTGTGTGTGTGTGTGTGTGTGTGTGTGTGTGTGTACGTGTTTTTGTGTCATATCAGGACACAAATCTGTATAATGACATGGGTATGAGACAGGTATTACAAAAAGGAGGTGAACGCCGGCAGATAGCTCTCTGCAACTCTCACATGGTCACCCACTGAAGTTAAGCAGGGGTGCGCCCGGTCAGTACCTGGATGGGAGACCACATGGGAAAGCTAGGTTGCTGCCGGAAGTGGTGTTAGTGAGGCCAGCAGGGGGCGCCCAACCAGCGGTCTGTGTGGGTGCTAATGCCTAATGGGGATGCTATACTGCTCAGTGAGCGCCGTCTTTCGGATGAGACGTTAAACCGAGGTCCCAACTCTCTGTGGTCGTTAAAAATCCCAGGATGTCCTTCGAAAAAGAAGAGGGGTTTAACCCCGGCATCCTGGCCAAATCTGCCCACTGGCCTTTGTCCATCATGGCCTCCTAACCATCCCCATATTCCAATTGGCTTCATCTCTGTCATTCAGTTGGATGCTGCGCACTGGTGGTGGATGAGGAGATTCCCCCCTATTGTGTAAAGCGCTTTGAGTGCCCAGAAAAGCGCTATATAAATGTAAGGAATTATTATTGTTACTCAATAGGAGGACATTGGTGATGTGTTCATTTCTCAAAATGCTTATAAATCCTACAGAATGAATTTAATTAGAGAGTAAAGCTGCACACAGTCTCCTGTGATGGTTTGGTTTAGGGGTGGGGGCAATATAATATATGGTTTGGACAGTATAAAATGAATGGAAACCTATGTAATGTCCCCACTTAAAACAAAAACAAACCTGTGTGTGTGTGTGTGTGTGTGTGTGTGTGTGTGTGTGTGTGTGTGTGTGTGTGTGTGTGTGTGTATTTATGGTACTGGTACGCTGCTTTTTTATTGTATGTAGCTTCAAATAAAATGATTATTCCAGACATTATTGCTTTTATTACTATTACCATTAATAACAATTATATTAATAACAACAACAATAATAATTAATATTAGTGATTTCAGAAGGATCATGTGACTCTGAAGACTGGAGTAATGGAAGCTGAAAATTCATCTTTAAAAAATAATTAAATTAAATGATAATCAACTTTTGAGCAGTTATTTTATAGTGCAACGTTTCACAATTTTGCTGTATATATGATGAAATAAATGCAGCCTCGGTGAGTAGAAGCTTATTTTAACATATTAAACAATCATACTGACCCCAAACTTTTGACCAGTTGTGTATGGAATATGTCATAAGCGCAAGCGTGCACTTTAATTTTGACACTCACAGACATCGTCACCAAATATAAATCAGAGAGGTCACACTGTCTCATACAGAGCCTCATTTCAGTTGTCAGGTTTTGTAAAAATCAATCTATTGAATTAATCAATCTATTAAAAAAACTATGGCTAGAATTCCGCATTTAAATTATAGAGAATATTTAAAATTAAATTATATTAAATTATAGATAGCAATTAAATTATAGAGCAATTAAATTATAGAGAGATAGCATACAAACCGAGACTGCATCAGACCATGAAGCAGATCAATGTTGATCTTTCTTTCGAGCTGTCAGTGCGGAAATGAACAAAACAACTGGCCTAACACAACATATTATAAGATTAAAATATGAAAAAAGTGATCAGATGGTAACTTCGCTCAAAGATCCTAAAGGACAAACAGCTCTCGGGAATATTTCAGCATGCTTTCACTTTCGTAATAGACATGAAGCACACATTTAGCGGAGGGAATGACATCTCGCCTTACTCATTATTCTCTCTTCATATAGCCGAATATGTGGCTATTACAAAATCATAAGACACTGTGATATAGCCTGGGTCGTTAGTTAGTGCATTGTTTTGTTTTCTCACTACAATCGAACCGCTAAATCGAGCAGAGACCATCTCATTCAGGCGAACTCGGACCTATTGATTTGGCGCGTATGCGAGCGTGATTGCCCATGCAAAGGAGACAGATTCTGAAACAAATGTGTGAAAGCACCCTAAGATTGTGTTTGCACGCAATTGACAGACAGTGGCAGCCAAACTTTGGTGACAAGGCAGTACTGATTGGGCCAGTAACATTCTGTACACTGGCCCGAGCGTCTTGCATGCTGGCCCCAGGCCATCAGGCAGTCCTTATTGTCGAGTCCTGTGCAGTATTTTAAAATATCATCAAATGATTCTTCTTCAGTGTATGCCTGACCATATTTATTGCCATATATACAGTACATTTGATATCCTAAATAACATTTCTTGTTATTTAGGAAGCAGTAAAGTAAATTTGTAATAAGTAAAACCCTGATTAGGATATTAAATGATTAATCTCTGCACAGTGTATTGGGTTAGTTTATTATTGTGCATTCGTTTTGTTTCGTCAAAGCACATTATGCATGCATTTGTTTCATGAGATACCTTGCAAGCAAACCAGATAAGCCTGGACTCCTCGTGGAATCTAAACATGCCATATTTCGGGTGCAGAAGCTCTTTCATGATGAGCAGGAAAAACTCTTTCCTCACACCACCAGCGTCCACAGCCTCCTCGCCAACAAAGATCACCTAGAAAAGAACTGGATTAAAAACTGTAGGAGCACCGCTGAAACATGCAGACCAAGGCATTTATTAAATAAATCATTGAGTGCATCTTATTACTCAAACAACAAAATCTAATGAAATCCCTCACTCTGCTCTTCACTGAATAGATATATGGGCTAAATAATGACTGAACTTTTATTAATGTATATATTGAAACTTTTATACAATATCCAGTATAACATTTGATTATATTAATCAGTTCCTGTAATTAAAAACTGCTGCTAGACCTTAGTTTATTTTAGTAGTATCTTTGCTAGATTGTTTTCATTTCCATCTCTCCCTCATTAGCATAGGATGTTAGTCTTGTTTTTGAATCTGCCACTATGCTGACAAACAGGCATTTATAGCTCCACCCTCTATTGAAAAAGAGCACAATCTCATTTGCATTTAAAGCGACAGTCACCAAAACGCCACAATTAGGATCAAAGTCTAAAAGGGGCCTTCAGAGAGACAGGTTTACCTTGAGTGGCTTCTTGTAGTCTACGTTTTTGGACTTCCTCAGCACCTCCATGGAGTCTCCGACCACGTTTTCTCTGCGTACGATGAGGATGAGGCAGGGGTTCACTGACTCCACGCCTCCGCCGGACAGAAATAATGAGGTGAAGTTCTGTCTCTGCGCCTGATCCACCGCCATCTGCACACGCACACGCACACGCACACGCACACACACACACACACACACACACACACACACACACACACACACACACACACACACACACACAGCTCTGTCAGAAGACTATAGCAGAGAAACATGAGGCTGAATCTCTGACTGAAACGCATCAGTCTGACCTGCATCTGGATCACAGCATCAGTCTGCAGCAGAGCCGTCTTCGCCTGAGCGTCAAACACAAACGGGTATTTGCAGAGGGTGACCTGAGAGTCCATGACCTGCGAAAAACAGAGATTTATTTACTTATATTAATGTTTGGAAGCATACATGGTGAGATAACCGGTTTCAAGGTGTTCCTACGGTGGCTCAGTGGTCAGCACTGTGGCTTCACACCAAGAAGGCTTGGCGTGACCTCAGCTGGGTCAGTTGGTGTTTCTGTGTGGAGTTTGCATGTTCTAACCGTGTCGGTGTGGGTGTTTGTTATGATCATAAACCAACCACAGAGAACATCTGCTGCTGAAACCAGGTCGCATAATCATTCCTGATGTCGATCAGCTCGTCTAGCTCATGGATGTAGAATTTATCATACTGGATGATCTGTCCGGCACGCTCATTGACCTGCAACGGGATTATAAAGACGATATCAGAAAATGATCACTGCAGAATTATCAGGTTCCATCTCTCAGCATTAGTATAATTCAGGTAATTAGGGTAAAGTTAGGGTAATTAGGCAAGTCATTGTATAACAGTGGTTTGTTCTGGAGACAATCCAAAACTAATATTGCTTAAGGGGGCTAATAATATTAACCTTAAATAGGTTTAAAACAATTAAAAACTGCTTTTATTCTAGCCGAAAAAAAAAAAAAACTTTCTACAGAAGAAAACATGTTAGAGGAAATACTGTGAAACATTTCCTGAATCTGTTAAACAGCATTTGGGAAATATTTGAAATAGAATCTAAATTCACAGGAGGGCGAATAATTTAAACTTTAACCGTATATTGTTCATTAATATAATTTCGTTATTATGAAAAGCTTGTATATACTGAAGTTAATCACTAAAATCAACATCAATGCATTAATAAAAAGAAAACCAGAACCTTTTAAAAATCAAATGAACATTAGAAAACATGAATTAATATTGAATTGTTGTTAATTAATATTGACTAACGTAACAAGAAACGCATCTGGTGCTTGTCGTTATTAATGTGTTAACTAATATTAATTAAGCAGCATTCATTTACCTTGTTTTCTAGAAATATTAAAAAAAAAAAAAAAAACTAAGGTTACGTCATTTTTTGTAAAAGTTTGGTTTTATTTAAACTTACTTTACGTTTTTAAATCTTTACCTACTTTATATTTAATATACTTTTATGTTTGTTGTAATTATGAGTTATTATTGTAAGCCAAATATTTGATAACATATTCTTAACTAATCATTATCTTTATTAATATGCATTACTGTTATTATTAAAATTGGGGTATTAAGTTTAACCATCTAAAACATTTACGTAATAACTTTTTAAAAATAATTTATGTATTTAATCATTTTAATCATTAATTATTTAGGCAAATGATCTCATAATAATTTTTTGGAATATGAAATAATCATAGTTTTTATTCATCTGTATTATTATTAAATTTAGGCCATTACATTTATCATTTCTTCCCAGTTTTAAGAATAAATTAACTTTTATTTCATTTATATTTGTACATTTAAGCACTCAATAACTGTATCTTGATTGTTACAGCAGATTTTATTTCACACCGGGTCAATTTCACAATTTTATGCACTATGTATGATTTAAGACACATTGATTAAAGTTTTTAGGCCGGATGTTGTTGCTGCTCACCGAGTGCAGGATCTCCAGCAGTTTAAGTGAAGTGTCTAAAAAGCAGGTGAAGATCCTCTGTTCAGAAAGAGGAATGCCCAGTTTCTGCATGCGCAACAGATACACCACCACCTCCTTATAGAGCTCCACCAGCCTCTGGAAAACCACCGGCTCAAACCGGGACCACCAGTTCCCTTCAAAATACACAATAATACAACAACAATGGCTGAATCCAAATGGTGAACAAAATACAGGGATTAGTACAAAAACTGGCAAAGATCATCCACAACACATTTCACGACAGATTTAAAAGACAGCATGACTACAGCATTACATCAAAGAGCATTTGGTTTTTACTTGGGGGTTACATTTGGAATTTAAGGGTGCAATCGGACAAAGTTGGTGTCAATGCAAAATGAAAATGCAGTTTAAAATGCAAATAATAAATGGATTTTTTTTTAAAATTACATATAAAATCAAATAAAAGAAAAATAAATAAATAAAAATCAAATATAAATAACTATATACAACTTTATACATATATAACTACATACAACGATGGAAGGATGGATGGATGGATGGATGGACTGACGGATGGATGGATAGATAGGAAGATAGATAGATAGATGGATGGATGGATGGATGGATGATAGATGAATGGATGGAAGGATGGATAGATGGATAGACAGACATATGGATGGATGGATATAGATGGATAGATAAAAGGATGGATGGATAGATGGATGACAGACAGGCAGATGGATGGATGGATATAGATGGCAGACAGACAGACGGATGGATGTATGGATGGATGGATAGATGACAGACAGACAGACAGACAGACGGACGGATGGATGGATAGATAGATGACAGACAGACAGACAGACAGACAGACGGATGGATGGATAGATAGATGACAGACAGACAGACGGATGGATGGATGGATGGATGGATAGATGACAGACAGACAGACAGACGGACGGATGGATGGATAGATAGATGACAGACAGACAGACGGATGGATGGATAGATGACAGACAGACAGACAGACAGACAGACAGACGGATAGACAGACAGACAGACAGACAGACAGACAGATAGATAGACAGATAGATAGATAGATAGATAGATAGATAGATAGATAGATAGATAGATAGATAGATGATAGATAGATAGATAGATAGATAGATAGATAGATAGATAGATAGATAGATAGATAGATAGATAGATAGATAGATAGATAGATAGATAGATAGATGATAGATAGATAGATGATAGATAGATAGATAGATAGATAGATAGATAGATAGATAGATAGATAGATAGATTGATAGATAGATAGATAGATAGATGATAGATAGATAGATAGATATTAGCAATATCCTTATTTTAGCAAAAATGGATTCTAACACGCCCCGAAAGCGTTTGCGTCCTGCGCTTTTCACTTTGCGCATGGATCGTCAAAATAGAGCCCAATAGTTTTAATAACTCGTTTCTACTAATTTTTTTTTATTTTTGCCATGATGACAGCACATAATGCTTGACTAGATATTATTCTTCAAGACACTAGTATTCAGTCCAAAGTGACATTTAATTTCAAGCCAATTCGTACTTCCGGTTTGAAATTAATTTTTGAATCTGCGTCACGGCCATGAGATCTTAGCGTGTGTTCCAGCGTGTATACTGGACGACTGTACCTGGGTGTACCTGGGTGTTCACACGTCTCTGAGTGTGCTGCATTAATGCATGAGTAAGACTTGGTTCAAACCAATCAGCGCGCTCTATTGTGCAACTTCATTAATATTTCTTAATGTTACAGTGTAGACGGCGTCACGGCAGAGACGCCACATTGTGTTGGCAAAACAAGCGTGCAGTGTTTCTTTCCTAATTTGCTGAAGTAAAGTTTTTGTTGTTTTTGAGTCATGTGTGGATTACAGTGTATGCGACGCGTGACAACAATACCTATTACTGTCGTGTAGGATTTTCACCGCATTTTGTGACTAGAATAACACATGCGGCTTACCTGCCGAGTTTATCAAAGTTACAGAGAAATGCAGAGGTTTTTTTTTTTTCTCTCATTCGCCGTGTGGTATCAAACATTGCATGAAATATAAACATTTACAGCAGTTCCTCGAATCAAATATCTCGTTTGTCACGAGGAGCATGAATGAATTCCCTGAATGAAAGAGTCAAACTGCAGTTAAAGTCCACCATTTAATAATTTGGCAAATAATTCGACTACAGATGTCCATGTAAACACAGTCACTTTCTCCCCTGTGTGTGTGTGTGTGTGTTGGTGTGTGTGTGTGTGTGTGTGTGTGTGTGTTTTGACTCTGAAACTCAGCGGGTGCTCAAATAGACACTCCCATATCATCCCTCTTTTGCTCCTCCGACACTCCCCCCTAAACAGAGCTGGACACGCCCACTTTTCTGACTTTTTCCAAAGTAGAGGTGTGAAAACACCCTGCTGAAACGAGGGGGTCTCATGGCCCTTTAAAGGCTTAACTAGGTTAATTAGGGTAAAGTTAGGGTAATTAGGCAAGTCATTGTATAACAGGGGTTTGCTCTGGAGACAATCCAACACTAATACTGCTTAAGGGGGCTAATAATATTGACCTTAAAATTAATTAAAAACTGCTTTTATTCTAGCAGAAATAAAACGAATAAGACTTTCTCCAGCAGAAAAAAAAATATAGGAAATGCTGTGAAAACCTTCAATCTTTCACAGGAGGGCAAATAATTTTGACTTCACCTGTAAATTGAGGAAGGTGAACATACCGAGCACTTTGATAGGAGCATCTTTCAGGCTGACGATGGCTTTGGCGAAGGGAATAGTTAACGTAGTGAAGTTGTTCGGGTTGCAGAGAAGTGGACACTCAGGCAGGGTCAGGTACAGTCTCAGAGCCTCGATGTCTGGAGGAGAACTGCTCAATTTGGGAAGGAGATTCTTCTCCAAACTAGCAGCGATCTGTGTGTGAATGACACATGCATAGATTATCACAGCAAGCGGGAGCACTGCAATTATGATTTTCATTTCTATTAGCTTATAAACAGTGAGCGTAAAGTGAAGCTGTATTGCAAAAATCCCTTCTATAAGAAGTTTAAACACAGTTGTGTGTCTGCACTGTGTGGATATCTCCAGCCTCTAATGCTCAATATGAATGAGTTGTATTATTCATAATCAGACTAGATAGAAACAGTCTGCAGAAACACTTTGATTGACATTCACTCTTTGTACATGTCATCAGAGAGGGAAAGCCCCGCCCACTAGTGCCCATCTCTCCCTCATTAGCATAAACGGCAGCCCTGAGTGAGAAGCAGCTACATATTACAGTGTTTCCTCTAGGATTTTTTCCAGCTGTTGCAACGGGCCTTTTTTTAACACAGATTTACCAACTACCTGTGGCGTTATTTCAAATAACAAATGTCGTAAGCGCAGTATTAGAAGTCGAGATCGCATTTATGTAATAGCCTACGAGCATGCGGATCTCTTTGCTTGCGCGCCAATTTCCTCTGCTTCTTTTTTTTTTCTCTCCTTCTTCTCTATGCAGATCTTCATGTGCGCTCTCAAATAAACGCACTAAATCACACTTCAGCAGCGTTTATGTAACAAGTATGTCTCCAACATTTATTATTCTTGCTAGGAATATTCATGAATGTGTCCAATACCTGCAAAGCACTATTAATGCATTCTGAAGTAAAGTGAAACGGCTATACGTCGTGTTTGCTGGCCTCACGCATCACGCACCTGTCTGTCAGCCAGTCAGTCAGTCAGCACGTAACCTACAAGGTTTAAACAAATGACGCACAGCACTACGGTTACAGAAAAGTTTGCGCTGTTATAATTCACTTACCTTTTAATACGTTTTGGTGCGATTATTACCCGCTATTAAAAAATATAATGTTGAATAAGAAGCTGTAATGTGGCCGTGGCGGAATGAATTTTGGCGCGGCGCCCCGCCATGGAAGAATGAATGCAGCGGAAACCATGTATTATATTACACAAAATATGTATCCTATAAAACATTTCTAGCCTAAAATTGACAGAAAATAAAGTTAAATATCTGAACAAATCAGATTCCACATTTAAAATTGATAACACCAAATAATTTCCATTCAGTCAGATTTTGTTAGGCCGCAGTACCAGACATGACCACCAGATGACATCCAGTTTATCCCCCTATGTTTTGAGGAATACAACTTGTATTTGTTTCCAACTTCTGACAATATTTGTAGCCTAGACATGAAGTTCTAAAGTGTGTGCGCAGTTTGATTTGAATTCAGCCTCTAAAAACACCAAACAAATGTTTACACGTGGATTGCTGTAGCAAAGTAATGCTTTACGATTCTGATACGTTTTCTAGTAGCAAATTATTAAATAACTGTTGCTCAGCAATATCTATTACTGATACAGATCTAACACTGCAATCTAATACAGATGTTGAAGCTAGAAATGCTAAGCTTTCAAATGATATATTTTGTCATAGTTTGTCATGATTGCTTTGAGTTTAGACTACAATGTTATGATTTTAACATGTAACCAAAAATGCTCTCATATAGAGTGGGTACAGAAAGTATTCAGACCCCCTTACATTTTTCACCCTTTATTATATTGCAGCCACTTGCATAAATCCTTTTATTAATTTTCTTGTCGACTTAGTCCCTCTATTAATCCAATTCGCCACAGTGGATTGAACCGCCAACCTATTTAGCAAGTTTTTACACAGCGTATGTCCTTCCAGCTAAATCTTATCTCAGAGAAACATCCACACACACACTAATACACTACGGACAATTTAGCCTACCCAATTCACCTGTGCTGCATGTCTTTGGACTGTGGGGAAAACTTGAGCACCCAGAGGAAACCCACGCGAACGCAGGGAGAACATGCAAACTCCACACAGAAACGCCAACTGAGTCGAGGCTCGAACCAGCGACCTTCTTGCTGTGAGGCGACAGCACTACCTACTGCGCCACTGCTTCGCCCACTTGCATGAATAATTTCTCCACTTCACTTCCTAATCTGCAATTGCCTCTCTTGATATAACACTAACTGTACTAAAAAATAAATAAATAAATAAATGAAATTTTATTTTTTTTAAATACTAACATTTTACTAAAAAAAAAATTACAAAATTACAAAAAAATTACTAATACTTTTCTTCTTAGACTTTACAGACCTGAAATTCGCCTACAGCACTTATTCATTGTTGCTCTTGGTTGTGTAAGTTGCTTCCTTGTCCTCATTTGTAAGTCGCTTTGAATAAAAGCGTCTGCTAAATGACTAAATGTAAATGTAAATAATTTAAGTTAATTTTTTGTACACACAGCATCACATACTGACAAAAAAAAATCTGAATTGTTGACATTTTTGCAGATATATTAGAAAAGAAAAACTGAAATATCACATGGTCCTAAGTAGGGCTGTGTGATTAATCGGAATCGAATCGCAATTTTAAATGTTGTGATTATCTAAATCGCAAGAGGCTGCAATATGAAATATATATTATTTAACCTCCTCACCCCCAGAGCAATTGACTGCTGTCGTACTAGCCAATTGAGTGAGCACACTTTCATTCTGCCCAAACAGAATTGCACAACCGAACAATGCGGAACGCCCACAATAACAAACAAACAAACAGAAAAAGCACGAACGAGTGGGATGATGGCATCTGCCGCTTCAAAAGCATTATATAGACTAATTAATATCAAAGAACAACAGCACTTGGGTAATATGGGAATATCTTGGTTTCAAAGTCACAGACGCAAAACAAAACCAGGTAATTTGTAGCTGTCGCAGAACAAGGAAATACAACAACCATCACCTAAAAATCCACCACCGGCTCATATATTTAACTCAGGTGCTGTCCATTTCCTCTGATCATCCTTGAGATGGTTCTACACCTTTAAACTGCGATCACACTGCACTTTTCTCCCTGTAGACTTCGTCAGACCCTAAGCGCAAGCTCGTGCCACAAGTTTTGCAGTTTCGCTGCATTGGAAAGTTCAAGCTGGGTGAATTCTGACCTACAAAATCGCATCACATGATTGCGTGAGACCAATCATGGCAGGATTAAAACATGACCTCTCCGGACAGAAATTTAAAATATAAAACACTCGCTTTTTTCAATGTCTAAACATCTTGTTTAATCCCGCCCTTTTCGCAACGCTGTACAACAGAATTATACACGCACAAACTCTAGTGTGACCACAGCATTATTTGAGTCCAGATGTCTTTGAATCTACTGATTGGACTTGATTAGGAAAGCCACACACCTGTCTATTTAAAGTGTTTAGATGTCAGGGCTCAACAATAAGGACCAGGGCCAGTGTGAAAGACACTTGGGACAGTAGACAGGATTGTTACTGGCCCCTATCGGCCAGTAACGTTGAGCACGTTTTTTTTTTGTAACGTGGTAACAACCAGTTCAGCGAAAAGATGGCAACATGGCGGCAAAATTAAACAATGAGGCTAAAAGAAAACATCTGTTTCTAAAGTCTTAGAAGCAGACGATTACATGGGAACAAAATTAAGAAACTGAAAAAAAAAAAAAAAAAAAAACAAACAAACAAAAAAAAACAGTTGTCAGTTTGGCAAGCCATTTTTATAACAATTATTTAGAATTGCATTAAAATACCTGCACATTTTTCATACTGCTCTTTCATTTGCATAAAATCTTGAATTTTGCACATTATACATTTATTAACATATTTAAAATGTTTAAATTCTAGATTCACAGCCATAATTTTTTTTAAAAATATGTGGCTAAGAAATAGCTATTAACTTTTTAGTTTTTTTTCTTTTTTGGTGTGGCCAGTGAAAATTTTGGCAGGGCAAGTAAAAATCTCAACCAATGGCCCGATCGGACCCGTATAAAAAATCCTTAGCATTGAACCCTGGATGTAAATGAGTCTGCATTGCTTTCACTCATGCTGGAAACATTAGGTGACTTACGATTTGTGAGATTTGTGGGTGATCGGTTTGGATGAGTTTGTGGAAGAGCAGACGAGCCGTGTTAATGTCCACACCTGAGCACTTACTGCTCGTGCTGTAGTGATCTGGATTACTGCAAAACAAAACATTCCCGTTAGAGAAACTATAATCTGATTTTACAGAAGTTATTCACATATGCTCAGCAGTGCAAAAGATCAGCGACATCTAAATAAACATGTAAACATGCTGTGCTTCTTCTACATAATAAAAACCAAACAAAAAAGAAAATTGCACACACGTATATTAATTTGCGGCTCTCAGGAATACTTGATTCTGATTGGTCAATCAAGCATGCTATTACATATGTGGTGTTTTATTAGATAGATATATCATATATTACAATATATATCAAATAATAAGTAGGTTAGTGTAGGCTGCATTCAGCCTTTTTTTTTCTTTTCTGCGAGCTTTACATTTAATTAAAAGTGTAAACTATTACAGCTCAGATCAATGTTTTGTGTATAATAGTTTATTTTTGTGTTAAGTATCCATATAACCAGCAGGATAATGCACATCTAGCTGGCTGTTACACAGAATAAATCCGTCCGTATTATACAACAGCTGCTGATAAACCTGTCAGGCTTTATTCTGAGAGCACAACCGGCTGGATGTACATTATCTTCGACTTAAATGCATTGATGATTTGGTTACCTTGAAGACAGAAAGCTTCCATTGAGACAACTCGCAGAAGAAAACACAAGATCAATCTCACTGCAAGAAACACAGAACACACATAACTGACATGATAATCAGACCTGTCTAAATTCCCGTTCCAATATTAAAAAAGAAAAACAGAAAATATAAATACAACAACAGGTCCCACTTTACATTAAGGGTGCTTTCACACCTGTGAATCGATTCAGTTGTTCCGAAACAGAGATTAAAATTGTTACATTGTTGCTCTTTGCTCTTGGAGCGGTTCGCTTTCACACTGCAAAGTTTCTAATCGGACCAAAAGAGCTAAAACAAGTCACGTGCGAGTAAACTCTCCTCACATTGGTCAGAGTGTCAGGGTTTATTTTGCAGCGTCCCGCTCAGCTGTCAGGAGAGGTGGTGGTTTGGTGGTGATTGACAGGGTGCGGGCGCGTGACGTGTCTGAGGAGAGATGCGGTGGGGAGGGGTGAGAAGGGTGCGCGACGATGCCTATTTGAGGACTAGGAGAGAGACGCGAGATTACCGGGAGATCATCACTCGTTTGCGGGCATCCGGAGACTCGCGAAACTTCCCGCCATACTCATAATTCTCTCTTCATATAGCCGTAAGCCTATTACATATCCATAAAACACTGTGATATAACCGCGCTCGGATCGGATCGCTTTCTCACTGCAATCGAACCGCTCCAGAGTTCGTTTCAATCGAGCCGAGACCACCGCATTCAAGCGATCTCGGAGCATTTACTTTGGCGCGGAACAGAGCGCGATTGCCCTGTTCACATATGCCAAACGAACCGCACTAACTTGGCAAACGAGACACGTTCCGAAACAAAAGTGTAGGTGTGAAAGCACCCTAAGTGTCCTTAACTAATAAGCACTTACACAGAAATTAATAATTAGTTACAATGTACTTATTGTGTAGATACATGTATTTACTATGTACTTATGCTTGATTAAATACCTGTATGTGATTACATCTGTGATTAACTTCTGTAATTACATTTGTAAATACACTGTTGACCATCCCTTACACCTTAACCCACCCTTAAACCTACCAATACCACCAACCCTGTCCAAAACCCAACCTCTATCCCAACTCACAAGCACCACAAGTGTTCTCAAATACATTATGAACACAGTAAGTACATTGTATTCATTTTTGGATGCAAGTACATAGTAGTTAAGGACACTTAATATAAAGTGGGACCCAACAATAAATATATTTGAGTCCCCTGACTGGCAATAAAAATCGGTTTACTTTTAGTTTATGCTTTTCATTTGGCACTACAGCCCTTTGTAACCAGCAGGTGTCCTCAGTGTGCTGTTTCTAGCATGTCTGAACAGTGAATCCAGCTCGTGTAATCTTTATTAAATAATGCATAAATCTAATAAAACAGTGCTGGAGAGATATGTATTTAGGCCCGTTCACACAAAGCATGATAACTACTAATACAAATCTAATAATAAAAATATATGAGTGTACTGATAAGCATTAAAAAAAGTTTATGGTTTTCATTACACATTAATTTCAGTTTGCTGTTTCTAGCAGATCTGACTAGTGAATCCAGCTCGTGTAATCTTTATTTGATAATGCATAAATCTAATGAAACAGTACAGGACAGACATGACTTAAGGCCTGTTTCCACAAAGCATGATAACTAGTAATATAAAAAAATAATAGGGATGTAACGATATTGTAAATACCGTCATACCGCAATAGTAATTTTTTTCAATATCACCGTAGGCGCATGACTCAATAAAACTATATTTCTGAGAAAAGTTTGCTTAGGCGAATGAAGCGAACGAGAGGTAGCGGGAACTACAATTCCCATCAGCCCAGGCGTGGCCATCATCCTTTGCGGTCTGTTGTCACTACAGATCCAGTAATGTGGAAATGGAGTGTGCTGCTAGTAGCGGGGAAGAAAAAGAGCTGGAAATGATCGAACCTAAAGCGGGTTTTAAATCTGATGTGTGGAAGCATTTCGGTTTCTTTCTAAAAAGATACGAAAAAGGAGAAAAGGTGACAGACAAAGACAAAAACAGCATGCAGGCACTGCCAGACTGTGGTGAAATATAAGTCGGGGAATACGATTAAAAACTGTCATGGGGACTGCAGAACACAGCACACTTGTTAGATTGATGCAGACTTTAGCCCCTTTCACACATACAGACCTTTCCGGAAAATTACCGGCAATTTTTCGGAAAGGTTGTATGTGTGAACAGGTCCTTTTTGAAAATACCGGTAAATTCGTTCTGGCTATTTTCCGGAAAGAGAAGTTGTAACATTACCGGCAATTTGCCGGAATGCTGCGCTGTGTGAATGCAGAAGGAAGATTGCCGTAATAAGCGCGTGCACGTCTAGAACGTGCTGACATGAGACGTCTGCTTTAGCCAATCACAACAGTCAGACGCATTTACGTCCGCGCGGTTTATGAGCATAAAAGCCTTTGAATATTTTTCCAGACACATTTAGCTGCTAGAAGTTAGTCAGATCACGTTTATATGTTCTTCTTAATGCCAACTGTGTAAATAATCATCGATGAGATGCTTATGATAAGCCGTTGTTTGTTTACCTTCAAGCTTTGCGTGTGCCTGTGAAACAGCCTGTGAGCGCCAGCACACCCACATATCATGAACATCTCGACATGCGAAAGTGATCCTGCGAAAGTTGTTCACAATATTGATCATCCACAGAGTTTGTAATGTAGTCAAATGTTTACAAATACAAGCGCAGCCGTTTAAAGCTCATTTGTGGTGAATGATGTCAGAATTTACCGCTATTTTGGAATGAATGCGTGAATGCTCTTTTCCGGAAAATTCCGTATCGTCCTCGCCTGTGTGAACAGCGCTTTTTTCAATATACCGGTAAAGTCTTTCCAGAAGTTTTCCGGATATTAACCGGTATCACTGTGTGAAAGGGGCTATTGACTTGTACCACAAAGAGATCTCTATCTCACTCATGGCTTGTCCTCTCAAGTGGGGGAAAGACAATGCACAACGTTACCCACTGCTGTCAACCTTGGCTAAATCATATCTCTCTTTCCCAGAAACCTCAGTCCCAAATGAGAGGGGTTTTTTCTGTTGCAGGGGACATGCCCAGAGATCCAGCTTTACCAGATTATAGTTATATGATAATTTTCCTTTAAACCCATCTCTATCTAAGTGAGTGAGTGATTAAATGTTGAATGTGATGAGTTTTCAACAATACTAAATTGAAACTTTTTTTTATATGGTTTAATAGTTTTTTGTTATTAAAATTAAAAAATTGAAGTTCCTGTTTCGAAACTTACTAAGCCTAATTTGTATGTCATTAATATGTTCAGTGTCACTTTTTTTTTGCCACTTTTTTCGAGTCTTTTCATTAGTTTTGTTTTTCCTGTAAATTATTCAATAAATACCGTACCGTGCCATTCATACCGAGGTATTATCGTGCCGTGAAATTCTGATACCGTTACATCCCTAAAAAATAACAATAAATATATTTATGTCCACTGACGAACAATAAAAATCTGTTTATTTTTAATTTATGCTTTTCATTTGGCATTATCATTCTGGATCCAGCAGGTGTCCTCAGTGTGCTGTTTCTAGCGCATCTGACCAGTGAATCCAGCTTGTGTAATATTTATTTAATAATGCATAAATGTAATAAACAGTAAATTTAGTGATCACAGTCAGTGTGCTGGATTAAAAACAACATTAAATACTTTGCCAAGCACTTCCAAAGGAGGCAAAGCAAATAAACTGACACTAGCATTGGAAACCTGAGGTACTTTTACTTTTATACTTCAATTAACCAGCCTTGATTAAATGTATTTTTACCATTTCTTCCCATATGGTATAACCAATCATTTTCTAAATAATAATTTTCTTAAAATAATGTTTGAAAAGAGGACTTAAAATCAAGAGGTTTCTCCACAATGTCATCTGTAGCTTTTTAAATTGCAATTTACATTAAAAAATCATTAAATTTTCTAAATATTCCTGAAAGTGATCCCAATTATATTGATTCTCTGCATCTTTATTGCTAAAGATTGATTTTATTGTTTTATTGATTTAAGATTTATTGTATTTAGTGTAAACAGGAGTTTCAAAGCTACATATCCTAAAATAAAAAAGAGTGTAAAGAGGGTTAAAGCAGTACTCTGTGATTTCTGCTGGTATCCTGCCAAGGCCGTGATTGAGCCACTTCTGGATGAGTTCAGTGCTGAGTGTGTAGATCTGTCCAGCAGGTCTGGTTATCCTCACATCCAGTGGGGGACCGTCATCCTAAAACAACACAGCAAAACAATGCAGTTTATTGAAATGAAAATAATGTTTTGATTATTTTAGAATCAGTATGTTAGTTTTAAGGATATCTATAAGCTACTGTGCTCCAAAATACGCATTTAGAAGACATAAACAACTAAATGCGCACAGTTTGTACTTTTGACAAAAGGGATTAACAATTTCTTTGACATCAAATCATATTTCTGTTTCTCATCAAATCTTCTGACCAATCAAACGCTCTCTAGTGTCTGAACACTTTTGTCTTTGACTCGTGTATATACTCATGCATAAAACTAGGGCTGGGCGATTAGGCAAAAAAAAAAAAATCTAGGTTTTTTATAAAGTTTGACCGATTCACGATTTCGATTTTTTTTTTATTGTGTTACTAGTCTTCTCAAAACATTACAACAACATGACTGAAGTAACATTCTCTTTAAAAGTAACTTGAAAACCCATCTAGTTAAGGAACATTGTATTCTTAATGGCCATGTCACACAAAAATCGGTCAAGGTGTAAATAAATGTAAAACTAATTCACGAGTTAAATAGCGTTGCTGAAGATTTGAATAAGAAATATTTGTGTAAATATTGCACTTGCAGGAATACAGGGGTATTTTTGCTAGTTTTGCTGAGCCTAGGAAAGATTGGCTGTCAGCTCGGCTTTGTCTTCTGATTGAATGTCAGGTTGTAAAGCTGCTGCCTTTTCTTAAAAAGATACAGTGGAAGAAAAGGACTGAACATGGAAACTGTAAAGCCTAATTTAACCCAATGCGTAAAGTTGTGGACGTATAGCAGGAGCAAATACAAGCACCAGATGTGTGTCTAATATAAAATAATATATTTAATCTATTTTTCTTATTTCCCCTATTAAATATCGATCATTTGATGCGCTTTGCTTCACTCTCTGTATTATGCTGCCTGATCTGTCTGGTTTTCAACTAGGTCCGCTAAATGACTTCATGGGGGCAGCTACTTTCATTTTCACTGCTACAGTCCCTCACCTCTGCTCGTGTTCAAACCAAAAGATCGGCGCGGTTTTTCACATGGCAGGCTTTTACGTCCTTCATACATGTTGAGATCGAGTTTATCGACTTGATGAGGGAATGTCTAGACAATCCACACAGACGTGACTCAGACTAATGCAACAAGCAAAATCCTACATGACTTCACGCTTTAACAGGCAGTCAAGCAGGTCGCACACCAGAAGCGCCGCGACACGGTGTGCACATGACAGTTTAAACTATCACACACCAAACGCGCACATTCACATGATATTCAACATGAAACTAATCAGATGGCGCTGTGTGGCGCGGCAGAAATATGACCTGCGTCCTTAATCGTGGCTGGGCGGCGCTGGTGTGTGTATAGAAACCTGTTTAGAACTCTAAAATCCATGGCGCTGCGTGGTGCTGCGCGTCGCGTCGGCGAGAGACGCTTCTGGTGTGCCTCCTGCTTCATACAGAGAGTGAACCCAAGTGCATTGGTGCCATTATAATGTATTAAATATATATATATATATATATATATATATATATATATATATATATATATATTTAAAAAAATCACAATTTCTCGATTTGATTCCAAATTAATTCGTCTTAAAATGTAAACTCGAATTAATCGCCCAGCCCTACATAAAACCTTCGCTGCTTTTCATACCTCTGATAAAGCGTAGTGAGCGAAACTCTGGTCTCCTCCAGCATAAATCCTCTTCACACAGTAACTCCGCTCCGCCTCTGAAATGCACAATTCAACACACTCAAATACCCTGTCAAATCTGAAACATCATCAGCTTATAATGTAACTCTGATCTAAGGTGATTCAACATTTTGTTAACCAACAAATGAACAATGATATTTATGCACAATGCTACGGCACAGCTAAACATGTGACCATTAGCTTTATTGATAAGTAAGCATTCTGCAAATGATCTTATCCAACTCACACCACATCAACCCTTGTGTGCTGTTAGGTTGTTTTCATCCACTCTGGGATGATTTTGAGGCTTAATTTGGCCACAGCTTTCTCTGTGTTTCAGCAAATGCAATGATTTTTTTGTGGAAAAATCTTATTTTGATGCATATTTTGTGAAAATGCTTCGAAATGTTTCACACTCTGTGCAAATTGACTCTCCTTTGGTTATGTTGGTGCTGTTTGTGCTCCACTGACCTCCATCATAATCACATTTTTTGATTGCAAAAGCCTTAACGGCATTTAATCATGCATTCTTAATCGTTGCTGGTTTTCTCATCTATACTTGTTGCCTAGACATGCATTGTCAATATGTATAATGATTAAATTCACATCAACGCATGCAATTGAGAAACACAGAGAAGGACAGCAGTCTGAGAGGTGATTCTGCAGGCACTTTTGAAGCTCACCGCTATGATCCATGGCAACAGGGTCAGCGTGGGCTCTCCAGCAGCCCTTCACCGGTGTGGGACTGATGCGGTTGCAGGTGGAGCGCGTTCCCAGCTGACCGTTTCCCCCGAGACCGAACGAATCTATCTTTCCTGATGAAGGGATGAACGCCAGAGTGTGCTGCCTGATGATAAGGCAAGAACCAAAACAAGTCATCATCTCCACCACATTGAAAATACGGGATTCTTGTAGGCTTTCATATGTTTAATTTAAAAACCAATGTGCATGAGATTTGCATTATCTGGAGACCTTGTGGGGTTTAAAAATGACCCCAATCTCACATCTGAATTTCTTGTGCCGCTTTCACTCAGGATCAGCAATTTCTGAGATTGTTCTAGATATTTACACCCGGATCATTTACTACTAGTCAAAAGACTGAAAACATGAGGTGATATGGAGACCCGGAAGGGACATGATGATATAGGAAGAAATGGGTGGAAGAACTCTCAACTGTTGTAACTGTCTCAACCCTGCCTGTTTTTTCCAGGATTCTCCCGTATTTTATCCTGCTATTAGGGTTGGGCGATGTCAACCAATTTGGCATTGTACGATGTCTACTGTGAAACATGGCGATAGATGATGGCATCGTCGTCATAGCCAGATATGATGTATGTGAAAAGCGGGTGTTTGACAGAGTGCGTAACCTGTCTGAAGAGCGAGGAGGGATCCGGTGGTGAAGGGTGCGCGACTTATTTGAGGATCGGAAGGAAGATGCGCGATTTCCAGGAGATTATCACTCGTTTGTTGGCATCTGGGAGGTCTATATGCATTTGCGGGAGACTCCTGGAAATTCCGGGAGACTCGGGATGCCTGAATATAACGTTTAACAACTATAGTGAGACGTGATCCAGCGGTACATCCTTGATAAACTGTCCGGCGTGCACTGCTCTATGCTCAGAGGAGCGCATGACTATGTATGTGTGTGGTCACATGATGTGTGTTATCAGCAGATGGAGGGCTTTTCAGAAATGCTAGGTAAAACACGATGTGGATTGGAAAATTTTCGTTCTAAAATGCTATTTTTACACCAAGATGTATTAGTGTAAACGGGGCCTGAGTGTGTATTTTTCGCGAGCGTGTCTGTGATGGGGGCAGGGCGGAGGATCGGCGATGGCGGCTCAGCATTGTGTTGTCTATTGTCCATCGCGATAGACGATGACATCGTCTATCGGTCCAACCCTACCTGCTATCATCCTATTATTAGGCATTTTCCAAGCAGCAACCTCCCGCTCTCCCTTGGGAAGCTAATACGGAAGTAACTAAAACTGCAATTCTTCATTTCTGACTGCATGTTTACAGCCTGGTAAAAAAGATGGCTTTGGTGCATATAGCCATGATTACCATTTATGACAACAGTGAGGGGGGTGAATTTTTTTATAAGTCATCCGTTTCGTTTTTATCAAGTTTTATTAAATCTGCATAATTAAGGGCGTGGCCACTTGAGTGACAGCTAGGTCTCTCTGCTCGCTGTCTCGTCACTTCAGCTGATTACGGCTAATTACCCGATGAACTCGGCATATACATCTCATTTTTGTGTTGGTTAATGTTTCTTTACACAGTTAGTTGGCTTTTGAGATTATTTCCTGCAATCATCAGATGATATGGGATGCTGTGTTCACTTAATTGTGCTCACAAACCATTCACGTGGCCTCCGTTTCCCTTGTGAGTGAATTTATATATTTGTATACCATCTCCATAAATGTATTTGTTTTATTTAAGATCATTTATAATGTTCTTTAGAGCTGTAATGCACTCCAGAATCTGACAGATTGATTAGCTGTAGGCTCTAGATCAGTCATCTGAAGCCTTGTCATACAGTGTTATGCCTGGATTTCCATACCTGTCAACATTGGGATGTGAAAATAAGGGACATGCCCACCATAATAAGGCAACTACAAACTCTCTGCTGATGGAAAAACTCTAAATGACAAAATCGATGTTTTGCATCAGTTGGTTAAATCATGTTTTTTTCATAGTTTTAGACTCGTGTAACCTGTGCCTTGTGAAAACTCGTGTCCCATTGACTCCTGTTAGCTTGTGTCTACAAAGTCACAATAAGCTTTTTTTTCTACCCTGGATTTGAATCCATGTCGGAGAACACACAGATCTGTGTATCTTCAGAAGGAAGCTTTTGCACCGCCTGCATTTATCCATTGACTTCCATTGTTTTTGGCTAGCAGTTTCCAACATTCTTCAAAGAATCTTCTTTGGTGTTCAACAGAAAAAGCAACTACGATTTTGGAATAAGTAATAGGGGAGTAAAGGACGAAAGACATTTAATCTTTGATTAAAGAATCTCTAAAGATCACAGAAAACACTCTGCAATTATTACAGTTTACCACAGGTAATACTAACCCCATGTCAAAACAGCTGTACTTACCGACCACATGCAATCTGTGAAACCACGCTCCCCATGAGCTCAAACACCTTTCTGGGGTTGACCTCATGGTTTGTGGAGTTGTGTCCCAGCTGACCATATCCACCAGCTCCAAAAGTAAATACACCGCCCTCCTATAAAAACAAAATAAATAAACAAAATACTTAAGTATGTAAAGTGATTTACACTGTGGCTGTATCCAAAATCACCATTAAATAGTGCACTATTTAAAGAAGCAGCCATTAATAGTGGAGTCTAAAACCATAATGGATGTTCTAAATGGCCCGTTTCCACTGAGTGGTACTGTACGGTTCGGTCAAAAGCGTACCAAACTGAATTGTACCGTACCACTTTTTCTGCACCCTTTCAAAAGGGTATCAAACAAGAGAAAGGGTACCAAAAGAGGGCTAGACGCGCAGCTGAACGCTATTGGTTTACAGAGATGCGTCATTTACTTACGCAAGAAGCCAGAATGAAAACAAGAGCCGCCATGTTTAAAATACACAGCCGAGAGAACATTTATTAGGGCTGCTCGATTATGGGAAAAATCATAATCACGATTATTTTGGTCATAATTATAATCAGGATTATTCAAAACGATTATCAGTTGAAGTCAAAATTATTCGTCCTTCTGTGAATTTATTTTTCTATATAAATATTTCCCAATTGATGTTTAACAGAGGTTTTTTTTACAGTATTTCCTATATTTTTTTCTTCTGCAGAAAGGCTTATTTGTTTTGTTTCAGCTAGAATAAAAGCAGATTTGAATATTTTGAAACCTATTTTAATAGCTCGATATTATTGGCCCCTTTAAGCAATATATATGTTTGATTGTCTGCAGAAGAAACTACTGCTATACAATGACTTGTCTATTTACCCTAATTAAGCCTTTGAATGTCATTTTAAGCTGAATATCTTGAAAAACATCTAGTAAAATATAATGTACTGTCATCATAGCAAAGATAAAAGAAATCAGTTATTAGAAATGAGTTATTAAATCTGTTGTGTTTAAACTGCGCTTTAAGCATCTTCGCTATATTTTTGATTTTATTATTGATTAATAATAAAAACAGTCGGCAGCAGCAGGAATACCGCACGCTCACTTTAAGAATAGTGCTGCTCTGATATGGTTTCTCTTTCTCGTGTCTTTTGATTCTCAACTTGTCAAATGAGGGTTAATATGAATAATCACTAAACACCGCGCTCTGACACAAATGTGCATGTATTTGACCATTAAAGCGCTCGCATTAAGGTTGCGTTAGATGTGTGTGTGCTCTGCTGTCCGAGGCTAAGCGCAGTGCGCGCGCAAACTCACACACACACACGCTACCTGTCCGAGGCTAAGCGCGGCGCACACACAACAGCACGTGCTCTTTTGTGCTTTTAAAGATATGAATGATGCGCATCCCGTGCCGCAAAAGTTACATTACAACACATGCTTTTAGTCATTTTCACGTGGAACTGAGCTTTGCAGAGGCAAAGAGTTTTCACACGTGTACAACTGGAAAGGGGGCGGTACGTGATGGAATAATCGTTTATCTCGATTAATGGCTTTTCATAATCGTTACAAGCCAAAATCAAAATCAGATTTTCGATTAATTGCACAGCCCTAACATTTATAGCGTAAATACAAATAATAACGAGTCATGGTCGAACGAGGCACAAACAAACTTTGTCGTCATGTTGATAAACAGCCACAAAGCCAAGAAGAAGAGCAGATTTAAACTTAGCCCTTTAGTTTTTTACGAGGCAGTCTGAAGCACGAGCGGTTAGCTTTCTTGCTTGCGCTCACCGCACGTCTATATCTGAAACAACAAACTTCCCGAGCTCATGATAAATATGTGCGCTTGATTATTGACATGTTTTTGAAACCCGATCCTGTCGGAAACTGACAAACGCGAGAGTGAAACATTCTGAAAGGAAAGGACAAATGTGAGAGTGAAGCGCGAACAGAGGAGAAGGCCGGCAAAACTCAGAAGCAAATTGTTTCAGCAACTTGAATCACGAACAAACTGCCATGTTTATCATCGCCTTCTGGACTGGGAATGACACAATGACTCTCTAACAGAGGCTACATGTACTGGTGAAGATTACAGACACAGATGAGAGGTTTGCACTGACTCTGGGCTATGTTGCATGTTGTTTTTAAACCTAAATAAGGACTAAATGTCTGCTGTGTGTAGTTTTTCTGTAGCTGGTATCATATCACAGACTGTAAGGGTCTGTATGCGTTCATATATGTTGCATTTATCTATTTATTTTATATAATTGCAGATGTTACTGTAGGCTATTTCTCACTGTCATTGATCTGCAATTATATTCTACTCATGTTCATGGAAAAGTTAGTAATGAACATTTATAAACAGGTATTTGTGTATAAAGCATCTGTTTTGTGGGAAGTGCTTCTCATGTGATATGTAAACGACCCATACAGCTTTATTGTAGACATTTATACAAGCGAAAATGACGTCGATTGAAACTCTCAGTCGTACATCACACCCACCAAAAGAGAACCCTTGGTAGTGGAAACGCAAGCCTGATAAAGGTGACCCGCACCGGCCCGGTCCGTACCGTACTGTACTGTACCAGTCAGTGGAAACGAGCCAAAAGTGCACTTAATCAATCCCATAATGCACTGCAATAATCAACCGTTGTACACTCAACAGGCAAAAAACACTCCAAAAGCACTGTGGGTATGTGAATGAATTATCACACATGACCACAACATGGCATCCACAGCAGAATCCCATCAATTCAAGATTCTAAATAAAATCTTACTCAATTAAAGCAAAGTTTGTCTTTAATGACAGAAATCAAAATACTGTGTTTGACTAATAACTAATCACAGGAGTTAAAAATCTAATGCATCTGAGGGCCAAGCAGCAAAATGGCATTCCTTTAGTGCTCATATTCACTCACTTGCTCATATTCACTCACTCAAGTGGACTATATTAGTGAACTGATGTAGGGAATAGCGAATAAAAGGCGATCGCAGCATATAACAGTTGAATTTAAAAGTACAGTAACAGATCCTGTAAAATGAAAGCATACCTTTGTTAGCGCTGCCGTGTGGTCCTCTCCACAGCAGATGTAAACAACCTGTTGAGACCTGAGAGTCTTCAGCAAGACTGGGAAACGGCGATCTGAAGAGAGAGAGAGAGAAAAAGAGGGAGGGAGAGAGAGAGAGGGAGAGAGAGAGAGAGATTTAATTTTATTGTCACTTCAGCTTCTATGGCTATGTCATGGCAAAAAGAGAACATATCAAGTTTATCACGTTTTATAAACACCAATTTTCTATAATTATAAAAATATTCTAACAATTAAAAGTCATCAACAGCAATTAATAAGGTCCAAAGTAAAATACATAAATAGCAATAATGATAAGATAAAAGTCTAAAACAGTTTTTAATGATTTCCTTTTGATAAAAATTGTACAATTTTAGATGGATTCACAGTAAAAAATATTTCCTTTAAAGTCTCTCCAGATAAAAACTGTTGTCTGATAACATCAAAAATGGGGCATTTCACAAGAATACATTTAACAGTTTGGTTTCTGTTGCAATATAGACATTTTGGTGGTTCTTCTCCTTTAAGTAAATGTTCATGCGTGAGTCTCGTGTGTCCAATGCGGCATCTTCTATACACAATCTCATCCTGTCTTGACTTAAAAAATAAATATTTTTTTCCTATTTCAGGCTGAATTTCAAAAAGCTTATTTTCTGAGCACTGATCCCATTCTGTTAGCCAGTTGTTAAAGGGTCACGAAACACCAGAACACATGTGTTGAGCTGTTGACAGTCGTATATGTGTCCCACACTGCTAAAAACACTATTAGGACACCTATATTTCACTAAAAAGTGTAAATTGGTTGTTTTTGCGTTATTTCAAGCAAATTCGTACTTCCGGTTTGAAACGAATTTTTGAAGCTGCGTCACGGCCATGACATAATAGCGTGTATTCCAGCGTGCAGACTGGACGTCTGAGCCAGAGTGAGTCTTATTACGTCTTACAGTGTGATGCATAATGCATGAGTAAGGCTTGGTTCAAACCAATCAGCGCGCTCTATTGTGCAACTTCATTAATATTCATTACTTTCACAGTGTTTAGACGGCAGAGACGCCACGTTGTGTTGGCAAAACAAGCGTGAAGTGTTGCTTTTATAGTTTGCTGCAGTTAAGTTTCGTTTTCATTTTCTCTCTGTGAGAGCTCAGACTCACGCAATGGATTAACAGTGTACGCGACGCTCGACAACAATAACTTACGTGTTTAAGGAGGATTATTGTTTACCTGAGAGCTGTTCTCATCTGCAAACGCTGAGATCCGGATTCGCTTGTAGTCTCCTCTTAATAAAGACGCGGCTCTAGTTGCTGGTGATTGTTCTGTCTCTACAGATTTTGTGAGCGACCAGTGCTCTTTGTTTATTCGTATCGAACAAACTATTGCACCGAGTGTAAACATGTTAGCACCACAACAAAACTTTAACGTCGTGTAGGGTTTTCACCGCATTTAGTGACCGGAATAACACACACGGCTTTCTGACGCTACCTGCCGTGTGCATCTAAGTTTCCAGGAAATGCAGAGTTTTTTTTTTTTCTCTCATTTGCCGTGCGGTATCAAACATTGCATGTAAAATACATGTTTAGAGCAGTTCCTTGAATCAAATATCTCGTTTGTCGCGAGGGAGATGACTGAATTCCCTGAATGAAAGAGCCAAACTGCAGTTAAAGTCCACCATTTAATAATTTGGCAAATAATTCGACTACAGATGTCCATGTAGGTAAAACACTATCACTTTCTCCTGTATGTGTCAGTGTGTATTCTGATTCTGAAACTTGCGCGTGCCCAAATAGACACTCCTACACCATCCCACTTTAGTCCCTCCGAGACTCCCCCCTAAACAGAGCTGGATACGCCCACTTTTCTGACTTTTTCCAAAGTAGAGGTGTGAAAACACCCTGCTGAAACGGCAGGATGTTTTCACACCTCTAGTTTGGAAAAAGTCAGGAAAGTGGGTGTGTCAAGCTTTGTTTGGGTGGGAGTGTCGGGGGAGAAAAAATGGGCAGGGTTTGAATAAAAATGGGAGTTGCTATTTAATGACGGTGGGATTTTTGATACCACACGTCGTATAAGATAAAAAAGCCTCAGCATTTCTCTGTAACTCAGATGCACTCAGGAGGTCAGAAAGCCGTGTGTGTGTGGACTATCCTGGCAAAAATTAAACAGGACGGTCGGCAAAAGTTTGCTTAGTGTTCACGTGTTTATACACAGAGAGCAGCATTTACAGCGGATCTTTCAATATTGTAGTGATATTAACGTACTGTAAACCAAGTAACTTAGAAATCATTTTGACTAAGGTCCGTCTGTAAACACTGTAAGAGTACAGCTGACCATACCAACTATAACTTTACCATCTGAATGAACAAAGAAAGGGTGCTGATCACACACACTTACCAAATCTGTAGACAGGACAATCAGCACATACTGGAGCTGTGTCTTTTTTAAAGGAGACGAGCAGCAAATCAGATCTCACCATAGATGAGAAATGCTCTCGAGTAAAAAATGTTCCAAACAAACGCATTTCTGCCGCGCGCCGCGTCTACGGATCCACGCGTGAGTCTAGCAGCGCGCTCATAGAGAGAAAATGAAACAAAACCTTCACATTACGAAAGCAACACTGGCGACCCGTATCTCCAAACAACTCTTACTCTTTAACCACAACTTTTGGCAACACGACGTGTCGTCTCTCTGCCGTCTGAACACTGTTTCAGGTACAGTCTAAGAAAGCTAGCATGCATATTAATGAAGTTGCAGCGCATTCATAATGGAGCGCGCTGATTGGTTTGATCCAAGCCATACTCATGAATGAATGCAACACACTCAGAGACGAAATACGGGATGCCTTGGTAAAGACGGCCAGTCTGCACGCTGGAATACACGCTATTATGTCATGGCCGTGACGCAGCTTCAAAAATTCGTTTCAAACCGGAAGTACGAATTTGCTCGAAATAACGCAAAAACAACCAATTTTCACTTTTTAGTGAAATATAGGTGTCCTAATAGTGTTTTTAGCAGTGTGGGACACATATACGACTGTCAACAGCTTAAAACATGTGTTTTGCTGTTTCGTGACCCTTTAAGAATATAGCCTTTTATTAGTGGCTTTAGATCGGAAGGAGGGATTTTACACTCCTTCAGCTTTCCTGCTAGGGCTGTTTTGACGCGGCGATCTGAAGAACAGCACACATCTTATTAAACAACAGAGGATTTTACTACTTCATTATTCATTCATTCATTTTCCTTTGGCTTAGTTCCTTTATTCATCAGGGGTCACCACAGCGGAATGAACCACCAACTTATCCAGCATATGTTTTACACAGCGAATGCCCTTCCAGCTGCAACCCAGTACTGGGAAACACTTATACATATTCACATTCACACATAGTACGGCCGATATAGTTAATCAATTTCCCTATAGTGCATGTGTTTGGACTGTGGAGGAAACTGGAGCACCCACACCAACATGGGAATAACATGCAAACTCCACACAGAAATGCCAACTGGCCCAGTTGGGATTCGAACCAGCGATCTTCTTGCTGTAAGGTGATAATGTTAACTACTGAGCCACCATAATGCCCTGCTTTATTACACTACTGTTATATATACACTATTTGGCACTATTTATATTCATATTAGTATTATATTTATATTATAAAAATAAGTATTGAACACGTCACCATTTTCCTCAGAAAACATATTTTTAAAGGTGTCGTTGACTTGAAATTTCCCCGGATGTTGATAAAAACCAAAGTAATCCATATATGCAAAGAAAATAAAAATAATTAATTGTCAAATTAAGTTCTGTGTAATAAAATAAAAAGTTTTAAACAGATGAGAAAAGAAAGGTGAATTCTGCAGTGAAAGCCCAGACAGCAGCTGAAATCTCTCAGTAGTTCTTCAGCAAGCCTCTGCCCTTCCTAAGTGTAAATGACTATCAGCTGCTTCAGTCCAACATCTACATCAGCAGGAGGATGAAGATAAACCCAGGGTGGACATTTCAGCAAGACAATGATCCAAAACACAGCAGAGGAGACTGTTGTAAACTTCTAATAGCCCAAAAAAACCAGGGAGAATCTTTCGTTATCTTCAAAGCAGAATCCTTTTTAATATGAAGAACTCAGCGTGGCTGTGGCATCATCGAAAGCAAACTCTCAACTCCACAGCAAACATAATACATTTTATACTTGTTACAGCATGTAGGTGGGGTCAGTCATGGTGGGGACAGTCAAACAAAACATGCAAATGAAGTCTGGGTGCCATGCCTTCTCCAGGTCTGATCTCATCAATATATAAGTACATCATTACAACAATGTGCAAATGATGTTCTGGAGACAGGGAATACAATAGATACAGCCATGCTGTGAAACCATTAATTGCATCACTCAGGCTTAGCCTGTAGTCAGCAAGGCAAAGGTTAAATTTCCCTCCTAGCTGGCATGCCAATGAAATGATATAATTAAAAACCAAAGAATATAACTTTTCAGTTATACGTAGATTATTGTTTATTTGGAATTAGATGTTAGAAATTCATACATCCACAAGACTCTCAGATGCTTTCAGAGAAGGAAATTCAAGCTGTAGAATGGCCCAGCCAATCACCTGACCCGAATCTAATAGAGAATTCAGAATTAAGCTCAGATCTGATAGACGACACCCACAGAAGCATCAGGATTTTGACACTCTGTTTAAGTCTTTGAGAAACTCACACCTGAGCAATGCATGAGGCCTCATCCTCCATATGAGAGGTGTCTTTAAGCTGCCATCATTAAAAACAGCCTTTATATAAAGTATTAATAATGTTTCAGTAGTTCAGCTCTTTCTCCTTGTGTAATTCCGCTGTTTTTACACACGACTCATTTCAATTTTCATGTTTGTATTGTTTGTATTTCTACCAAAATCTGATTCATGTCAGCAGCACCTTTAGAGACATTATTCCCAGGAAAAAAACATGACGTGTTCAATACTTATTTCCCCTGCTGTAAGTAAAGGTGACTCGAGCAGAGAAAACTGAAGGTGTTTGTTTTACCATCATTGTCTCCGAGGCCCAGCTGGCCGAACTTGTTCCGCCCCCATCCGAAAATGGCCCCAGAGAGCGTGAGGCCAAAGCTGTGAGCTCCACCGGCGGAAATCTGCCCGAACGGGATGCCCTGCAGAGACTGGATGACCTGTGGAGAGCAGACACAGGCTCCCTGCTGCCCCAGACCCAGCTGACCATACTTATTCTGGCCCCAGGAGAATATCTCGCCTCCTGGAGGAATACATCATTTCAGATAATTAGGGTAAAGAAGGCAGTTTTAGATGCAGGAATCTGGTTTAGGATTATGTTTAGCAGCACACCTCGGGCTAAAGCAAGGGAATGCCAGTATCCACAGGCCACCTGGGTAATGTGAACCTCTGACAAGCTCTTGACAGTTCTGGAAGCGGAGAGAAAATAATAAGAGCAGATCATGAATTGTGAGCAGTGTATAGTATTCACAGTGTTTTTTGGTACAGAACCCAATTATAGAGGGATACATACTGTAGTCAGGGCTCCAACTGATTTGGCAATTCATATATAGAGCAAATAGATCCAATCTTAATATTTGACTGCTGATTATTCGTTTCTCACATGTTTTGCTTTCCTCCATTTATTTTCATCTATTAATTTTTGTTTATTTTATGCTTGATTTGATCTTTACCTGGGCACACGCAGACAGTCTTCTACAATGGAAAGTCCGAGCTGTCCATCTGATCCCAAACCCCACGCAAACACTTGTCCTTTATCATTCAGAGCAAGAGTATGAGCTTCTCCACACGACACCGCCACAATGTTCTGCGCATCCAGAGACACCACCTGCTCTGGAGACGAGATGGAAACATAGAGGATTACATGAAATAAAGGCAATATATTGTTCATTTTAATGAAAATGCTTCCTAAGTGCTGTTTAAAAGAGAGATTTGTTTTTAAACATAAGGGACCTATCATATACCCGGCGCAATAAGGTAGAGATCTGCGCTGGACTAAATTTTGAATCCCAGTCCCGCCCGCACCCGCCAGGTTTTAGCCCGAACCCGACCACTCCCGCTTATATTCAGCATTTGATGCCCCGCTGCCTGCCCCGCCCCGTTTTCTACCCGCCGCGCCTGATCCTGGTAAAGAGCAGGGATGAGAACAAAACCGAAAACCACTATATAGAGTCCAGACAGCCTATAACAAGCTGTCTGTATAAACACACACATACACAGAGAGACAAAGCTCTTTCTCTCTCATTTCAATTCAATTCAACTGTTTATTGTCATGTGCACAGTAAGGAAAACACGTCTCCCTGTACAATGAGATTCTTACTTTGCCGTCCACAGTGAAGTCATACACACAACATACACATCATACACAACATACACATAAATACACAGAAGTGACCGAAGATTGAATGTAAAATATAAGTATATAAAATATCTATGAAAGTAAACAATATGTAAACCTGATTTGAGTAATGAAACAGATGTAAACAGTGTACAGTGTTTTTTTTGTTTTTTATTGTGCTTATTATGCAAAAAGTGCTTAGTGCAATTGGATTATGTGCAAAAAAAGAATAAAGAATAAAATAGTGCAAAATGGGATGGAGTATTTGTGTGCGCACTAACATACACACACACATACAAACATAAGCACCAAGCACACACACACACAGACAAAGCTCTCTTTCTAATTTGCGTGCGCACACACACAACAACAAACAAGCTACACACAGCATCGCGCTATTTTATTTACACACATACATACGCGTGCTCGCTCGGGAGTCGGGAGCGATATTGCTAGACGGCCCGCTCATGCCCACATTAAACCAATCACTGACCGCTTCCGCAATTTATTCTGAAATTTATTTCCGTGCCGCAGAAATCAGGTTGGCCGCGGGAATGCAGACCTCTACAATAAGGCACAAGACGTGTTTGGCGCAATTTGTTGGTATTTTCAGACCAGTGCAATGGTAATTTTCACGTTTTACACCATGTTGTTTAAACAGCAAATCCATTTGCGCCACTCTGGACTTGTGTGTGTGCTGCTCTATAAATGAGGTGTGTTAAGGCGCATTGCTGGCACATTGCTATATTAAGGAACTGAAATAGACCATTGATCAACTAAAAGCTGCTGTAAAGTCCAGTAAAGCGTTTTAGTTACGCGCCTATGTGGGTTCAAACATTTGCACACTGCTGAACACACACAGGATGAACAGCAACACACAAATATCTTCACAGATGAAAACATTTAAAGGATTAAAATGATCCAGAAATGATGATTTTCTACATCAATATAAACACACTGCCTCCATGCCTTCTTCACCTCGGGGGGCTTTTTCAGTTCATTCATGACGATCTGCATCTGTATAATGTTATTATTATAATGATATATGATGTAATATGCAATATAATGTTACACCAGCAGTATTATTGATTATATGCATATTTATATTTGCTTTGATAAACACAAGTGCAGATTTGTCCACCTGTGTGGTTTTGGAGACGTCTGCATCAGCATATGGGGTATAAGAACTGAATTTAGAAATAGTTTTAAAGTAAATTGTTGGGCTTAACAAATAAAATTAAACATGTGGGCTAATAGATGTGTTCAGTGGAGTGAGTTTCCACCGTTTCCTCACTCCACCAAAGTAAAGAAGTAAAGAGTAAAAGTAGAGAAAGTAAAGAGGCTGAATGGAGGAGGCTCATTCTTTATTCTCGCGCTGCAGATGCTCTGTTTAACTGTTTTCTCACCAGTGAAGCGTTTCGTTTTTACACGCACAAATGTAAATAGCAAATGCCACATGGAGCAACACAACTGACTCTTCAAGGGAATGTGAGATGAGACTCTGATTGTTTTAATGCAGGTTATGCTCAAAACACACCCAGAACTCATTAAGAGAGTAAGCACAACCCTGTTAGACCATGCACCAGGGCACAGAGAGTATGTTTTCGTCCTTAAAATAGCAAAAAGTACATCATGCGCATATAGTCTGGCAGTGCTCAAGAATGAACAGTTTTTGGGAAATGGTGCACTCTGCCATCAATTATATTTTTGATCTTCATATTCCTAGATCATTTGAAGTACATTATCAGGCAGATACTCCTATCAAACTTATAAAGCAAGATAAATATCTATTTAAGATATTTTTGGCAACATGCAAAAAATATATAACCCGAAAATGGTATAAAAAAGAGCCAGCAACTGAACGGCTCAAAATTATAGCAGAAGTTGAGGAAATAGAAACAAATGACACATGCACTTCGATTACAATTAGAGACCTTTGATAAGAAATGGAGTAAATGGCTGGCTTTCTCCACAACGACAATATAATTATTTTTAATTGAACATTTACATAACTCCAGAGGTTAAGCATCATTGTGAAAACATGTTTGGCAGACTTTTATTATATTTTATTTTATACTTATGCATTTATTTTATTTTGATTAGGTTAATTTTATATTTTTATACATGCATGTAAATAGATATACATGTGTGGAATAGATGTTTTTGCCTGAAAGCAATTCCAGTGTTTTGCAGCAAAAATTTCAAACATAAATTCACAGAGAAATCAAATGTTAACATTATATTGAAACATCTGTTTATATTTTCCAGAATAACTGACCACAGAGTAAAGGGACCAGAAAAATATCAATCCGTAAACAAGGAAAATAAACATGCGTTATGGACGTGACAAAAAAAGTCTGTGAGTTTACAGAATACAGCATGCTTAGTAGAAATTTTGTGAATTAAACTGCACAAAAAAAAAAAAAAAAAAAAAAATGATGATAATCAAAAGGATAAGAGTTGGCTCTCTATATAACAAAATTGATTGGTTTTATTTTATTTAATATTTTCACATTTATGAGGAAAAAAATAGCGTTATGGATGTGACGTCTCTCCGTTATGGAAGTGATGGATGTGAAAATGCCACTTGCGTGAGTTTGGTAAATCAAATAGAATAGTTTGAAAACACTGACAGACAAAACAAAGCAGATCTCACGTAGCGTTTGTGAGAAATACTACAGTAAGTACTTTACCATCAGTATTTGATGCATTTTTTTGTGGAGTTGCAACAGTGAGTTCACGCACACACAGCGCAGACACACACACACAGCAAGACACACACGCACATACATTGCGTAGAGACGCAGGCAGACACACACACACACACACACACACACACACACACACACACACACACACACACACACACACACACACACACACACAGCACAGACAAGTAGCGCAGACACAAACGCACACACATAGCATAGAGATGCAGGCAGACACACACACGCACACAGAGAGACAGTGAGAGAGACGAGGCTGTGGTGATGAAGTGAATCTGAAGTGAACGGCTGTACTTCATTACACACGTGCACACGTTTTAAACTCACTCTTGATCACGTCTGATGATGATTGATGATCCTATCAAACTGAACAGAGCTTTTATTCCCGTTTGCTTTGCGCTCATCCCGTACTATGGAGACATGTTAATCCGCGCAGCTGTCAATCAATATTGGTGGGCGGGGGGACCACACTCCTACGTAAAGTTGCGGTCGATCTGAAAACCGCTCCAATTGGTCCACCGTTTATATGTTGTTAAATTTGAAAAAAAAAAAAAGGACTAGGTGTGTTTATATCACCCCAATATGACAGTATATACACTATACTTACACACATGTATGTCCAATCAGCTGTAAAAGTAGATTTTTCACCATAGGTGCCCTTTAAAATACTTGCTTGCCCAAAACACCCAAAAATGGTCTCCGTATTTTGGTGAAAACATTTTTTTTTCATGGCAAGGTTGACATTTGCACGGAATTGCTCCTATATATGTATGCATATTTATGTACATATGTATTATTATTTTTTGTTTGTTTTGTTCCCACTGGTTATATGTTCAGAGAAAATCTATAAAAACTAAAAAAAAGTAAAAAATAAATAAATAAATAGCCAAAAGTGGATTCGGACACGTCCTTAATGCTTTTGCACCATGTGCTTTAGACTTTGTGCCCTGACCAGGGGTGTCCAAACTCGATACTGGAGGGCTGTTGTCCTGCATAGTTTAACTCCAACTTCCGTTAACACCGTTTCTAGTATACCTAGATAGAGCTTGATTAGCTGGTTCAGGTTGTGTTTAATTGGGGTTGGAACTAAAATATACAGGACACCGGCCCTCCAGGACCGAGTTTGGACACCCCTGGCCTACACCATTAAAATAGAGCCCAATAGCTTTAATTATCAGCTATCAGAAACAAGCTGATCTTCATCACAAACTCTGCGAATGTGCAGGTTTTCCAGTATTTCATCAGTTTACTCAGTCGACAACACTCGTTTTTTACTACAGTATAGGCAGTATTTTATCAAGATGAATGCAGCTGCAGAAGTTTAAAGTGTAAAAGAATTTAGCAAATCAGTATTCATTAAAAATAAAGTGGCAGATTCGGCAACACTTTACTTGAAGAGGTCAATCTTTAAGACAATTAAAATGTGTGTTTTTTTTTTTGCTGGTAAAATGGTGCACTGGTCATTTTGACCCACAAGTCTACCCTAAGGTAATTGCAAATAATAAAAAGACATTTTTGTACAGTCTGGTTGTTTATATGCTCCATACTTGACGTTCTAGGTCAGAGGTCATGTGACAGCTAAGCAACAGACAGTTGTTGCAGTCTTTTATAACAGCGGCCAATGTCAAACTGACCGGTCATATACATTTCAGACAGAACAGATTCATTTCAGTGGATGTTGTGAAAGTCCAGCGTATTTCAGTGGCAGAATGCAAATGAAGGGTGAGGCTTGATTTTCTCCAGAAGCAAATGTTCACATATTGTGATTCATGCAATAATAACGTCAGCGAATTACTAGAAACCACCCTAGTATTAAAGTGACAGCTTACACAATTATGAACATTTACTCACAGTTTTCTCTTCCAAAAGTGGTTCCAAACCGGTTTGAGTTTCATTTTGTTGAACACAAAAGCTGGTAGCCATTGACTTCCAAGATAGTAAAAAGAAATACTATGGAAGTCCATATCTGTTTTTTTCCCCCAACATTCTTCAAATGATCTAATTTTGTGTTCAACAGAGGGAAAAAAAACACAAACAGATTGACATGAATTAATCAAATTAGTATTGTTTATTTTTTTTTAGTGCTCGGCAAAGATTAACTGCAATTAATTGCATCCAAAATAAAAGTTTGTTTTGACATAATACGTGTGTGTGTGTGTGTGTGTATTATATATATTCATCATGTATATGTGATATGCGCACACGCACACACACACACACACACACACACACACACACACACACACACTTTGTATTTACATACTTTGCACAGCGACAGGGATACCTCCTAATGGTGTTGAAAGAGTCACATACTGTATTTATAAGGTACAATTCACCCTAAAATATCATTCTGTCTTCATATAATGATGTATTGGCGGCCGCAAAATCACACATGACGTGAGCTGACCGTGAGCTGTTACTACAGAGGGCGGATGATAGACGCGCGCGTATGGCAAGCCGTTTTAGCATTTAAACCTTTGTTCTGACTATCCATAAATATATTTAGAGATATCTCAAATTATATTTTGACTAGTCATAATTATAATTCGACTAGTCAGAATGACAATTAGAGATATCTGCAATTACAATTGTACTAGTACGAAATCAGATTGGAGATATCTGCAAATATATTATGACTAGTCATATTCCTCCATTGACTTCCATTAAAAATATTCGCAGATATCTCTAAATGAGTTTTGACTAGTCACAATTGTAATTAGAGATATCTCTAAATGAATTTAATTAAATATGAATTAAATACCTGGAAATGTGGATTTTATTTGCACACAAAAAACGCAAGTGACCAAGCAAAGCCTTAAGCTCTTACTGTTAAATTCAATTGAATAGAAAGCTTATTTTTTTGCACCTTTACTTAAATTGTTCCTTAATTTTGTCTCTGTCATTTCAATAATATTTTTAAAGAAGTTTTTAAATGGTTTTATTTTCCAGAGACAGGCCTGTTTAATATATTTTCTAAAAGAAGGTTCAGTTTAACAAGTTGAAACAAAAGAAATACATAAAAAATAGTTTACTTGGTAAAATTTGCATTTCAGTTTAATTTTCAATTTTTATTCCAAATATCGTGATACATATCGAATCGTAAACATTATAACGTGATACACATCGTATCGTGAGCTGAGTGTATCGTTACACTCCTAATATATATATATATATATATATTAGGGATGCCATGGTTCTCAATATAATATTGAACCGTACGGTACGACCTCCACGGTTCAATACGCGCTTGTGAATTGCGGTTTTCTCGGTTTTGTGTTTAAATAATTTATGTGTGTTTTATATCTCCCTGAATTGACTGTGAGTGCCTGTAAGTCCATGAGCTGAGATGAGGAAACTCCTCCCCTGCGAGTAAATATCCAATCACTATGCTCTAAAGTTAGGGGGCGCTTGACCATCATTCCACACTTTAACATGGCGAGCGGCGGTGAAGTGAGGCTGAGACATCAGTACGAGAAAGCGCCGGCAAAGTGAGGCAACAGTACGAGGAAGCACCGGCGTCTTTCAAATCTGCGGTGTGAGGACATTTCGGTTTTTCCAGTAAGTATAATGCTAATAAAAGAAAAAACAGTGAACAAAAAAAATAACTGTGTGCAAGCATTGATTTACACGTAGAACCATGACTGCACATCTGCAGCGCATCACCCAGCAATATCACTGTCTGAAGCAGGACAGCAGAGAAGGTAATAAAGTCCTCCAAACAGCAACAATCCCTCGCTGAATCTTTCCAGCAAACAAACCCAACTGGTTCCGATAGACACATAAAATAACATGACGTATGCATATAATAAGATACAGTATCTGCCAAAAGCATCAGTGCGATATCAGACAGCACCCGTGAGAACAGCAGAGTTATATCGTTAACAGATTCATTCATGTCCAGCAGTGTGTGCAGGGCCGGTGAGCGCTCCGTGAATGCTTTGGTCACTCAGTTTTGTTATAAAAATCTATTTTCTTGTGATGACGGGATTTCGTTGAGACATATTTCCTCACGCTTGCATATGTATTTTTTTGCTTGTTAGTTTGATTACTGTTGATTTCAAATGCAATAAATATGTTGTATAAAACTTGTAGTAACGGTGCTTATAATTACTGGGTGCGACTAAATTTTGGCTGATGCGCCTTCGTTTTTAAAGTAAGGAGCACCAGAGCTACCAAGCAAAAAGCTTAATTTCGAGCCCTGCCTAACTTTACCCTAATTAACCTAGTGAAGCCTTTAAATGTCTTTAAGCGGTATAGAAGTGTCTTGAAGAATATCTAGTTAGATATTATTTACTGTCATCATGGCAAAGATCAAATAAATCAGTTATCAGAAATGAGTTATTAAAACTATTATGAATAGAAATGTGCTTAAAAAAATACAGAAACAGAAATTGGCTAATAATTCTGACTTCAACTGCACATTAAACCTTATTGGCATAATAATTTGATTGTATAACCCTTAAATATGACAATAAACACTTTAAATCACTTTATGTGCATCACTACCTGGTTTCTTGCGGGCTTTCTCATGCCCCAGCTGCCCCAGGTCATTGCAGCCGCAGGTGTAAACCGTCCCATCCTCTAGCAGGAAGACAGTGTGGCGTCTCCCGCAGCCCACGTCCCGCACGCGCTTACCCTCGAAAAACTCACATCTTCGGGGCTCCAGCAGCACCTCCTCATCGATACCTCCTAAACCCAGCTGCCCGAAGGAGGCGTTTCCCCAACATAACATCACGACGGGCCCGAGTGCCCGCTCTCGTCCCACAGCTTCTTCACACACCTGTCAGGTACAGAGAGGTAAACAAACAGTAATGAATAAATTACTGGAAAATGTATGAGTAAACTGAGCCATGTATTGTTTTTAATGATGATGCAATCAGTTGCATGAAAGTTTTCAAATGTAAAAAGGCACAATTCACACAATTTATTTTATTAAACCTTATATATACAGTTGACGTCAGAATTATTAGCACTCCTGTAAAATTTTAATCCTTTTGTATTTTTTTTTAATTTCTGTTTAACAGAGAGATTTTGTTCAACACATTTCTAATCATAGTTTTAATAACTCATCTCTAATAACTGATTTATTTGATCTTTTCCTTCATGACAGCACATAAAATGAGACTAGATATTTTTCAAGACACTGGTATTCAGCTTAAAGTGACATTTAAAGGCTTCACTAGGTTAATTAGGGTAAAGTTAGGGTAATTAGGCAAGTCATTGTATATCAGTGGTTTGTTCTGTAGACTATCCAAACACATTTTGCTTAAAGCGGGCTAATAATATTGACCATAAAATGGGTTTAAAATAATTAAAAACTGCTTTTATTCTAGCTACAATGAAACAAATAAGTTCTTCAAAAGAACAAATAATTATAGCAAATGCTGTGAAAAATTCCTGAATCTGTTCAACATCATTTAGGAAATATTAGATTGTTTTTCTAGATGACATGAGGGCTAATAATTTTGACTTCAACTTTCTATATATCATAAACATTTTTTTACAAAATGCCTGTGGTGCTAGGGGATATTTGTAGAGAAAAAAAAAAGGAACAAACAAAACAACAACAAAGAAAATAAATAAATAAATAAATAAATAAATAAATAACATTTGGTTGAATAAAATAACAAAACGAGACTAAAATAATTAAAACAAATTATTAAGATAAATAAACAGAACCACTGAATTCAAATAAACTAGTAATTATTAAAACAAACTGTGTGTCTGTGTGTGTGTGTGTGTGTATATATATATATATATATATATATATATATATATATATATATATATATATATATAATGATTAAATAAGATTCGAACAAATAAATAATCAAATAATTTGCAGAAAATTATTAATTATTCAATAAATACATAAGACACAATAATAAATAAAAACACAAAAAACAACAACACAGAAAACAAATGATTAAATAAAAAAAAAAAAACATACACACAAAACAACAGAGAAAATAGTTAAATAAAAATAAAAACTAACAAATAAATTAAAAATAACACACAAAACAAAAACGTCAATAAATTATATTTGGTTTAATAAAATAACAAAATAAGATTGAAATAAATAATCATTTTATTAAGATAAATTAACATACGCAAGACTGGATTCATATAAACTAATAATTATAAAATGATACACGCATATTATATATTTAATAGTTGAAGTCAGAATTATTCGCCCCCCTTTGAATTATTTTCCCCTTTTTAAATATTTCCCAAATGATGTTTAACAGATTCAGGAAATGTTCACAGTGTGTCTGATAGTATTTTTTCTTCTGGAGAAAGTGTTATTTGTTTTATTTCAGCTTGAATAAAAGCAGTTTTTATTTATTTTTTTTTTAAGGTCAAAGTTATTAGTCCCTTTAAGTAATGTTTTTTTCAAAAGTCTACAGAACAAAGCATTGTTATACATTAACTTGCCAAATTACCCTAACCTGCCTAGTTAACCTAATTAACCTAGTTAAGCCTGTAAATGTCACTTTAAGCTGTATAGAAGTGTCTTGAGAAATATCTAGTCAAATATATACTGTCATCATGGCAAAGATAAAATAAATCAGTTATTAGAAATGAGTTATTAAAACTATTATGTTTAGAAATGTTTTAAAGGGCACCTATGGTAAAAAATCGACTTTTCAAGCTGTTTGGACAGATCTGTGTTGGTATAGTGTATAGACCGTCATACTGGGGTGATATGAACACACCCAGTCCTTTTTTTTTTTTCAATTTAACTACAAAAAAAGGGTCGGCCAATTGGAGCTGTTTTCAAATCAATCGCACCATTACGTAGGTGTGCGATCCCCCCCCCGCCCACCGAATTGATTGACAGCTGCGCGCATTAACATGTTCCGGTAGTCGCGTGTATATGTCAACAAGACCAGGCAGACATACGCAAAGCAACCGGGAATAAAAGCTCTGTTCTGTTCGCTAGGATCAGCAATCATCATCAAATGTGATTAAGAGTGAGTTTCACATGTTTAAAGTGTTTTAAAACAGAGTATGTGTGTAATTAATTACAGCGTTTTACTTCAGCTTTACTTCATCAGCACAGCCGCGTGTCAGAACAATTATAAAAGAAGACGCTTCAATCCCGGTTTGTGGAAGTTAAATTAGGTTTATTTTGTACATTAGCATAACAGATATCCACACAGTACTTGAGGTTAGCCTTAACTAAGCTAAGCGCGCTCTGTCTGTCTGCCTGCCTGTGTGTGTGTGTCATCTGCGGTGTGCGTGTGTATCTGTGTGTGTGTGTGTGTGTGTGCGCGTTAACTTTGTAACGATATTGTGTGTGACTCATCAATGCAACTTCACAATACTGATTAGTAAAGGTTAGTTCTTACTGTAATAGTTCACAAACGCTACGTGAGACCTTCTTCCTTTAAGTCTGTGTGTTGTCTGACGCAGCTGAGGGAGGAGGCATGTAGAAACAGTGGGCGGGCAGAACTCGGCTTAAAGGCACAGTACGACAAAACCACCCCCTGCTGGAAATCAGTATAAAACAGCCTCTTGTAAAAGGTATAATGAAAAATCTGATGGGTATTTTGATCTGAAACTTTATATACACATTCTAGAAACACAAAAGACTTATATTAAATCTGAAAAAAGGGGTAACCTAGGTGCCCTTTAAACAAATCTTCTCTCCATTAAACAGAAATTGGGTAAAAATAAAAAGCGGGGCTAATAATTTAGGGAGGCTAATAATTCTGACTTCAACTGTATATATATGTGTGTGTGTGTGTGTGTGTGTGTGTGTGTGTGTGTGTGTGTGTGTGTGTGTGTGTGTGTGTGTGTGTGTGTGTGTGTGTATGTGTGTATGTATGTGTGT